GAGAGAGAAAGAGGGAGAAAGAGACAGAGAGTTAGTATGCTTTGGAAGTGGAATTAGGGAAAGGCAGACAAGTCCTTAGCAGAGAAGGGCCCAAAAAAGGAAGGGGGTGGAGCCAAGCTCTGGAGGGCTGTTCCTGTCACTGACTAGACCTATAGACCAAGAGTAAAATGTACCACCCTTCCGGTATCCTCTAGGCCTCTGTTGGGGTAAGAGGGAGAAAGAGACAGAGAGTTAGTATGCTTTGGAAGTGGAATTAGGGAAAGGCAGACAAGTCCTTAGCAGAGAAGGGCCCAAAAAAGGAAGGGGGTGGAGCCAAGCTCTGGAGGGCTGTTCCTGTCACTGACTAGACCTATAGACCAAGAGTAAAATGTACCACCCTTCCGGTATCCTCTAGGCCTCTGTTGGGGTCTATGTGCAAAGCACTGTCCTCTGTGTGCCTCAGTTTCCCTTATATGTACAAAGAGAGCAGTAATCTGAAGACACTAGAAAGGCTCAGTAGGATAAAGGTAGTCTTGTCTCTGTCACTATGAGTTACACCTCAGCTAGGCCTCCAACCTTATAACACCAGGGAGAATATACTCCCAACAAGCTCGGCTAAGATGTAAGAGAGATGGGCAGCATCCCCATTCCCTACCCAGGCCAGAATCCTAAATTTCTGAAGGCCCTTCTTTACCTAGTCGGTCACCCCACCCCCTTCCCATTGCACTGCCACTGCCCTAATCCTAGCCTCACCATCTGTTACTTGGGCTGCAGAAAGAGCCTCTTCCCTGGCCAGCTGGCCATCTCTCACCATAGGTCCAGCCACCACACAGCTGCCAGGCAGAGCTTTCTAAGAAGGAAATTTGTCAGGCCCCTCCCCTGTTGTGGCCCTCAGGGCCACACAATACTGATAGGATTCAGCCAGAAAGTTTTCCTAAGTGTGGCGTGGACAGAGTTCCAGCAAAACTGTTCATTAGGCCCTGCCTACTGGATCCTTCATCCAGACTGTATAGCCCCACTCCTCTATGCCTTTTCCTGCCACTCTTGCATCCTTCAGGACCTAGTGCCAAATGGCCTCTTCTAGAAAGTTTCCCCTGGCACCTGTGCTTCCCCACGGGCACTACCTGCCACTCCTGGGTTGAGCTCCCTTGGGCTTGGGCTAGGTCTAGGACTCTGTCACTTGTGTGCTCCCAGAGGGCACCTGGTAGGCACTTATAAATAAGTGAAGTGAGTGAATGCAATAAATGAGCAAATGAGTGAGCGCACTCCTGACACACAGGCTAATTGTGGCCTCCTCCAGCCTAAGGGCCCCTCACAGTTGAGCCAAACCCTGCCTACCCTACCACCACCAGGCACCACACCACAGGCACACAATCTTCTGCAAGCAGCTGGACACAGACTCCATCCACCCACATCTCTTGCAGAGTGACAAAGCTTGGATGGAACCCAGCAGAAAAAAAGGCCTGGGACAGAATGCCCAAGCTACAGAATAATGACTACCATGCACAGAAAAGGACCTGGCAGATGCCCAGTGAAGTCTGCTGTGGCCCTGCCCACGCCTCCCCACCCCACCTCCACTAAAGCTGATTGGCAGATCAGCACTGACTGACAAAAGGACTGCTTGGCCTGGGTTCTGCAGACTCCAGTGTCCTCCAGCCTCAGTTCCAGTGGACAGGGAGCCTCTCACTCACAGTACTCCAGGCCCAGGATGATGTCCCGCAGGTAGAGGCGAGCTTGCTCCTCTGGGAAAGGCTTGTCACAAGGCACTTCCATGACTGGTCTGTGGCGAGGAAGGGAGAAGAACTGTTCAGCGGAATCAGTACAGGTAGCTGCAGGGACTGGGAAACAGGGGCTGGCCATTTGGGCCCCTTAGGGCCTCCAGAAAGCCTGGTGCTCACCCAGATCTAGAGAACCCAAGATGCTAACTTCTCTCTCCGAAAATTTTTAAACGATCACAAATATCCCCTTTCAATCATAATTTCAAGGTAGCTTTACCTTCATTTCCATTGGCTTGTAATTCTAAGTAAGTTTAATCAAATAATTTAAACCAGTGGCTTTAAAACCATGGATCAAGATCCAACAATCCTGAAAGCAACCCAGTGGGTTTGCTTCTTCATTTCTAATTAAATAGGAAGTTTCAGAAGGTATCACGTGATAAAGATATATACTGTTCCATAAAACCAGTTTCAGTTACAGATATGGATAAAGCAATCTAAACATATTTTTTAAACCTGGTGTGGTAGTGCACACCTGTTATCCCAACACTTGGGAAACTGAAGCAGTCAAGAGTTGTAGGCTAGCTTGGGCTATAAAGTAAATTCAGAGCCTGCTTGGGCTATATAGTAAGACCCTATCTCAAAAACAAACAGAAAACCCCCAGCCCAGCCCAGTGTGCATGCCTATAATCCCAGCACTTCAGAGGCAGATGCAAGAGGATTGTTCATGAGTTCATGAATTCCAGTCCAGCCAAGGTTACAAAGTGAGACCCTGTCTCCAAAAAAGAAACAAAAAATAACCACATACTTTATGTTTTTGTTTTGTTTTGTTTTTTGTCTTTTTGAGACAGGGTCTCCCTGTAGCCCCAGCTGGCCTGGAACTCTCAGTATATAAGCCAGGCTGGCCTTGAACTCACAGAGATCTGCCTGCCTCTGCCTCCCAAGTGCTAGGATTAAAGGTATGTACCACCATGCCTGGCTATGTTTTTGTTAATTTTTGACACAGGGTTTCATGTAGCCCAGGCTGGCCTCAAAATTTCTAGGAAGCTGACAATGACTTTGAACTTCTGATCCTCCTGCTACCATCTCCTGAGTGCTGGGATTATAGGCATCAGCCGCCGCCACTGGTTTTATGCAGTGTTGGGGATTAAGCCCAGGGCTTTCTTTGTGCATGCTAGGCAAGCACTCTACCAGGTGAGCTACAGTCTCAGTTCCCTACTTTTTGTTTTTAATGGAGGTTAAACAAACAAACAAACAAACATCTGAAAGCCCAGAGTCTTAAAGGGACACCATTCCTGCTGTCTTCTCCTAGTTGCTCTTTAGGAAAGCTCAGGCAGCTGAGCATGGTAGCACATACCTTTAATCCCAGCACTCTTTGGAGGCAAAGGCAGGTGGATCTCTGTGGTCTAGATACCAAGTTCCAGGCCAGCTGGGGCTACGCTACAGGAAGACCCTGTCTCAAAATGACCAGAAAGAAAAAAAAAAAAAAGAAAGAAAGAAAGCCCAGGATAGACCACAGCCTGCATTCAAAGAATGGCAGTGAGGGTTAGGGTTCACCCAGTCCCACCCATGTCCACTAGTCCATGTCAGCTGCTCTGCAAATGCTCTGAAAAGTTAAACAAGGCAGATAGACATGTGATAGAACACCATCATGGATAGCTTCATCAGTAATTTCCTGTGTAACCTTGGGCAGGCCATTTACCCTCTCCGACCCTTGGCTTTTCCTTGCCATAAATATAAATGAATGGAATCCCATGTATTCCATTCACCACCATGAGCTAGTAGTAAAGTTATTAAGAATCCTTGGTGATTTAAATACAGGTAAGAGCTGTGTCCCATATCTATATTTTTGCCTGAAAACATTCCTTCCCCCACTTCTATCCAAATATCTTCCCAGTTTTTCAAAACCTGGCTCAAAATCCACCCTTCTCCCAGAGGCCTCCTTGACTCTTCCAGCTTCCGCAACCTTTACCAGCCTTCAAGGGAAGAGACAAGAGTTCCTGCGGACAGGTCTACAGCTTTGATTTCTCTTACACTAGCTGGGCCCTGGGCAGGGAGACACAAGGGAAGAAAGGGATTAGATTTGACCTGCCTGACTGGGTCGGGGAACTCACCCCTTTCTCAGGAGGTCAAACACTGAAAGAGAAGAAAAAAAGGTAAGGTGTAGCAAGGCTGGTAAGGCAACCAAAGCCAGGTCCCTGCCTGTCCTAGAGGGTGGGAGGCCAAAAGGCATGCAGGCACACTCAAGGAGGGTGAGGGGGACAGGATAGGATACCAGAGGAAGTCCCTGGATGAGAGTGGGCCTGATGTGGACCTCCCTCACCGGATCCTCAGGTGCCAGGTGAGACTGTCAGCATGGACCTCTTTTCCTGAGGAATTGAGGCTCAGAGAGGGACAGACATTTTTCCAAAAGCTCATGGCACACAGGCAGGTAGGGTATGACGACTTAAGACTTGGCCTCCAGTTCCTAAACTGCCTCTTCTGCCCATGCCCTTTTGTGATAGAGATGAAACCCAGGGTCTTGCACATGCGCCATCCCTAGCCTTTTTGCCCCACTTCTTGAGACCTCCTCCAAAAAAAGCCCAGGCATCATCAGGATAAGGAATATAAGTAATAGTATTCATATTAATGAGAATAATTACTAATGTGTTCTATGCATTTTCTCCTGACATCAACTGTATGAGGTAGATACCATCGTTATCTCAATTTACCATTTTATTATTATAACTAAGTTTTTGCGGCTGGGGATTGAACTCAGGTCGTCAAGTATGCTAGGCAAGTGCTTTACCACTGAGTTACACTCTCAACCCTGCTAACCCATTCTGGAGGTAAGGAAACTGAGACAGGGTCTCCAAACTCACTCAGTTTGCTTCCTGCACCTACTGAGCACAAAGTCTCACTGATTCACTGTCTGGCAATCTGTGGGGAGCAGGGAGTGGGGCTCAGGGACATTCTGAATCTGCTTATTCTGGGCCTAGTTTAGCAGGGCTGTGCAAGGGAATCCAGGGCTTGAGAGCATGTTTTCCCTCTGCCCGGAGGAAATCAGAGCATGCACATGGCCACCTGAAGGTCCTGTGTGTCCCTGGGGAGCCCTTGCTGGGACCAGCCCTAGGTGAGCTACTATGGGAATGAGTTTGATCACTTACCCAAATAGAGATTGTCCTCAGCAGGGTCATCCAGGACCTGGTTAGAAGAAGCAGACAGAAAATCAACTTGAGGAAACATACAATTGGGGAGTCCAGGCTTCCCATCTTTTCCAGGTCAAAGACCCCTAGTGTGTCCTGCAGCTACCCTAAACATGGAGCAGGAACCATGCAGATGCCAGCAGATGGGCCTCAAGTCCCTAGCCCCAACCTGGCCCTCCCCATAGCACTGGGTCTTTTTCCCTTCCTGCTGGAGAAGGAGTTCACATTTACCCTCAGTGTAGCTCCTTACACTCAGTGAGAACACCTAAGGCTTGGCCTCCCCTTGGGGCCTAAGTCACACCTACCCCTAGGTTCTGGTCTGCCAAGCACCACCCCCTGGTGCTAGGTACTGCTCCCATAAGACCCAGAGCACTTGGTTCCCAATTGTGGCCAACCCTCCTACCTCAATCAGTTTGACTACATTCACGTGGTCCAGCTTCTTCAAAATGGCGATCTCCTGGTATACACGCTCCAAGGGCAACAGTTGCTTGGCCGGCCCTCCCTGGGCAGCTTGAGACCCTCTTGGGGGAGGACGACCTGTAACCAGGAAGTAAGTCAAACCCCTGGTCCAGGAGCTGGGTATTGAAAGACACTCACAAGGCTGCGATCTTGTCCCAGCTCACCAAGCCCAATCCATCCCCAAGCCATTGCTCCTGCTTCCACCCTCAACCCTCACACCCAGCCAAAACTAGTTAGGGACTTGGTCCCTTCCTCCTCCGGACAGGACAGACAGATACATACGGGGAAAGCCATACTGCTTCAGTAACTTCTTTTTGGAAAGAACTTTCATTGCCTATGGAGAAAGAAACAGAAATGTCATTTGTGTACAGCTACCCCAGGGGCTACCCAAGGTTGGTTACATGGGGACTGAGGTCCATACGGGCACACCGGTATCTGCTATTGGCCCTGAGCATGTGGCCAGGTATGTGTCAGCAGTGCTAGGACATCACCATAGCAGTCTAGGCTTCCCCTTGCTCTTCCCTCAGAGGGAGCCAGCCTCTGCTTGCATGCCATCAGGAATAGGAAGCTCATTCCCCTTAGCACACTGTAGAACAGGAACCCCTCCCTTAAGAGACAGCCCTGGCCTCTCTCATGTGCTTCTGCCCACCACCCAGGCTTCTAGGGCTCCACTTGGGCAACATCCCCTCCTGGTCCCAGACTCACATAGTGTCTGTCTTCACTTTCATTATAGGCCAGCCTCACCACGCCGTAGGCACCCTGCAGACAGCCATTGGTCAGCCCCAAAGGGCAGGGCATCTTCTCCAGGTCTAGCTCAAAAAATGGCAGGCCTGACAGCTCTGGTGCCTGCCCCTGCATCCCAAGACCACTTCACCTCCCTCCACCTGACTCTTGACTACAGATTTCCAACAGATGAGGAGGGGACATCTGTACACTGGGAACAACCCCTGCCTGGCTCAGCACAGTTCCACTCAGCCCCTTGTCTCTCCTGGTCTTCATTAAGAATCCTGGGAGTCAGGAATCAGGAGCCATCTCCATATGTTGTCTCCCCACTCCCCCGCACCCCATCATCTCCCAGAGGACTAAACTGTCCTTCTAGTTGGACTGGGGTATTCTTGGTTCTGCTCTCCCATCCCACCAGAGGGAAAGGAAGATGCACAGTGAGCACCCTGCAGCTTCCTGCCCTGCATCCTGCCCAGGTCCTACCTTGCCAATCTCACTCTGTAGCTTGTACTGGTTCAGCTGCACACAGTCCTGGGAGAGAGGGGGACATCAGGGATGGTTCATTGAGATGCAACAGTGCTCCTATCTCGGGATATCATTCAGGGCCTTGCTGCAGCCATAATTCTCAGAGCCCCCTGCCATCTCTCACTAATCTTTCAAGTTTAGAAGGGGAAGATTAGGGCAGTCACACTACTGCCACCATGAGGGACAAGGAGCCTTGGGTAAGGTGTGAAAATACTTAGGATGAAGCCCTAGCTATGCTGAGTTCTGATTGGTACCCAAGTTTACATTCAGACCTAAGCCTGTGAGAGCCTAGAAGTTGGAAGCATGCTACAACTTCTAAGAGGTGAGATTATGGCCCTGGGCTCAAGCTTGGGATGATGTAAGGGTAGAGATACATTATATATTTCCAGTTCTCTAAGGCTCCTTAGAGACAGAGAGGAACCTACTTCCTATACCTGGGCTGAGAATGGGAGTAGGACAGGAAGCAGTCCTTGGTTCAGAAAGAGCTTCCTGAATAGGAAGAAACCCTATTAGGGCTATGAGCTTCCTAGCTCTAGGCCTATGTAACCAAAGATAGCTAACTATATGGCACAGATGGAGGCAAAAAGCCCAGCTTTGCCAGGGGCCTCCTGGTAAGCTCATGAGCAACCTCTAACTCTGCCTTACCAACCTCTGCATCTGAGATGGCTACATGGTGGGACTCAATGGTGGGCCTCCGCCAGGCCCGAGGGGAGATATGGCTGGCAGGTCCTGTAGAATAAGGCCCAGCCTTGGCCTCAAGACAGCTTCCAGAAGTCCGTTCCTGCAGGGAGAACTTTCTGGCCGAGAGGCTGGGCCGTGCTGGGAGGGGTCTTGAAGCACTGCTAGGGATCACAGAGGCAGCTCTGGCTCGGGGTAGAGGGTCCACACCATTCCTGGCAGGCTCTGGGCCTTCTTCTGCCTCTTCCAAGTGGGCCACATCGATGGCTGCTACCCGTTCTACCAACTCTGCTCGAGGATCCTGGCAGCAGACAGCCGGGCCACCCTCCATCACTTCAGTCAAGGGCTCCTCTGTTTAATCTTGTTGAGAACCTGAGAGAGGTCAGAACAGATGTTACTCTTGCATGCCAGACTGGCCAGGCAAGTGGGCTGGGCCTGGGCCCTTCTCCTACCACAGCCAGGGTGCTACAGACCTACCCCCAGGCCTTTGCCAGGGCTGTTCCCTTGGCCTGATTTTCAGCACCCAAACCCAGGGAATCTCAAGGGCTCATCTGGCTCTGCTGCATGCCAACCCTCTAGCCCTCAGTGCCCCTGCCTGAAAAACAAGTACAGTCACTTCTGCCCTGCCAGCTTCACAGAAAAGTACAACAAAACTGGTTCTGGAGTCAGGACAGATAGATGTAGGCAGGCTTGGAGACCCAGCAACACGAAGGCACAGAGAGTTCCAGGTCAGTTCAGCCCCAATCACACTGGCAGCTCAGTGACTCACTAGTCCCAGCCCTTACTGGCAAAGCATTCCAGCACAGCCTCCTAGAAGCAGACTGGGCATTGGGGTGTAGGCCCAGATACCTCCTCTATGAAGGCTTCCTGGATGTTCCAGCCCTCCACCCCTATCCCTCTCACTGTTTCCAAGAATACTGCCCCAGGAGCTCTGGCCTCTGTTACCTCCTCTAACCATCTCAGGGATCCCAGAACAAGTCTTGTTACTCCCTTTTCTGCCCCAGCAGAACCTCCAGTCCAGGACAGGGAGCATTAGAGGAGGAGGTACCACCTTAGGGTCTGCCAAACAAGACACCAAGGCAGCAAAAGAGCCTTCTGTATTCTTCCTGCTTTTTTTCTTCCAGTCTGGCCAAATGTTCTTCACATCTGCTCCATTCAGGCTGAGATGCTCCTGGTCTGGCTTCACACATGTACCTATTGCAATCTAGCAATAGCCCTGACTTGGGCCTCAAGTCAACACTCAGCCCCTTCCCTCACTTTCATCATGACCCTTGGCTACATCCTGACCATGGCTGAACCCTGACTTACTCTCAGACCAGATCCACCATCTCTGCCACAGCCCACATGCTGGCCCTACCCCACCCAATGCCCCCTCCTTCCTGAGCCTGACTCTAATCTTCTCAGAAAAAGGAAGTGAGTGGACTCCTGAACTCTTGACCTTCTTTTGGTCCTGTTGGTGACTTCCTCTGTCTATACATTGCAGCTCAGAGCACTGGGTCTAATGGGTGTCATGCCCATTCTACCCCTGGCTCTCCATCTTTTGCTATGACCTATCAAGGAGGTAGGGCTGGGTAGAATGCCCTGGACATGGAAGAGACTGGGAAGCCATGCCTGCTACCAACTAGTACAACCCTGGGTAAACTCCCTCCCAACTCTGAACACCAGATTCCCCTCTGTGCTGTGGATGCTATGCCTCTCTAGCTGCCCTGGCTGCCACCAGGCTTCAAGATAGATTGTAGTAAGGAGAGGTTCAGAGCCTCAGCCTGGCACCACATATGCTGAATGAATGGGAGCCAGGAGGCAGCAGAGTTACTTCTGGCATTAAGAAAAGAAGAAAGTAGGAAAGCCAGACTAGCAACAGGAGATGACCTAGAGGCTGGACCAAGAAGGAGGTGGGAGTTGTGAGTCTGAAGCTTGAGGCCTCCCTGGAAGAGGTGAGGGAGGTGAGGAGGGCTTCAAAGCTAAAAGGAGCCTCCCAAGCCTGATAGACTCCTCCCTGGAGGTGACTGACTCCTCCACACCCTCTCTTCCCTTCACCATAGGGCCGGCCTCCCCACCAGGTCCTAAGCTCCTGAGATTAGTGCTCAGGTCTGCTTTGTCTCCATAAGATCACTGGTGTCTTCAGCAGCGCCTGGCACATAAGACCTCAATAAATATTTGTGCAATACATGAGTGGTCGCCATAGTGATCACTACAGCCTTGTCCCCATTACATGGAGGGTAAAGGAAACTCTGTGAGGAAAACCCCAACCAGCCTCAATTGGGGAATGGAGGACAGAGTCGGGAGCTCCTGCCCTCTGCTCTCAGGCAGACACTAAGAGCCTAAGAGCCAACCACAGGCAGAAGCCACAGGCTGCCCTGGCCCCGGACATTTGTATATGATTTCCCTGGGGTTACTATTCCCCTAAGAGTCTCCTTCCTTTAGCTCCCCCCTTTCCTCTGATAGGGAGAGTAAGTCCAGACAAGGGGTAAGGATGGGCCTGGGGTCACATGGAAAGTGGGTATAGAAGCCTTCCTGTTCCAGCCTAAGGACTGTTACCTGCTTTGCAACCCAGACTGGGAAGCCAGACTGCCCACTTCCTGGCTATAGAGCATGGGGAAGGCAGGTAACTGTGCTTCTTAACTTTGGGTTTTCCTAGTCTGTGAAATGGATAGGCCTCACACCCTTGTGATTGTGAGGTGTAAAGTTGCTGATGCTTGTTAGGCATGTAGAACAGCACTTGCCACTAGAAAATTCCAAGGAAGTGAGTTGTGATTGCATGGGACTAGCTGGGGCCCAGATGGATGCGAGGGTGGCAGCAGGAGGTGGCTGTGAGAGCTGACGTCAGGCCCTCCATCCATCCCTCCTTCATCCATCCTCCCTCCCGCCTGGATCAAATTCAGTGACTAAGCATGGCTTGGCTGGAGGGAGGCAGCAGGGGAGGCCCAAAGTTCCAGCCATTTGTCCAGGAGACAGGGCTGGCGCCTACAACTGAATGTATGAGGCCATGTGTCTGAGCAGGAGAGAATGTCCTCAAAGAGGACAGGGGGCCCGGGTCACTGGGTCTGCACCAAGGAGTGCATCTGTGTTAAGGACAAGCAGCTCTCACCGTGGTTTCTTCATATGCACATTTGTGCCTTTAGGCCTGCATATGTGGGCCAGAGGAGCTGGACCCCAGAGGTCAAGTCTGGATTTTCTCACAGGGTCACCTGTCCCACTAGCCTGGGGTTGGTGGCCTGCTAGGCTGGTCTGAGAGTCCAGTCCTCCCTAGGGGCTCACCCAAAGGATCTTCTCAAGGCTCTTCCCAAGACACTTTGTCTAAGCAGAGGCCTCAGGAGAGCATTGTAGAAGCTGACTTAGCAGGTAATCGGGGGTCAGGTGGGCAAACAAAAATGGGCAGACAGGTTGAGACCCAGGCCCAGGACACAGCAAGAACGCTTGTGGGCAAAGGCATCTCCCAGGTACTGGCTTACTGTGTAGCCCCAGGAGGCAAAGCACCAAATCCTGTCCTCCCTGATGGGACCCATGCTACCTGAGACAGGACACTGAACTTCTTAAAGTCTCAGTTTCCTCACAAGTGAATCAGACAGATGGCTACTGTCCTGCCTCCTCTGGAAGACCTAGAAGGAAGTGGACAAGGCTGTGGACACAGAAAGCAATTTGTTCCTGAGTGATGTGTGGCTGTGATGTGTATCTGAAAGCAACTCAGAGAGAGAGCATCATTGTACCAAACACAACCCACTTCTGCTGCCTGGCTCTGAGGTGGCCTGGCTCAAGCTTCTCTGTTAAGCAGCACCCCTCCCTCCAAGTGTCTGCCACTCCCCAGTATGCAAGCTCCTGGCTTCAGAAGCCCACTTTTCCTGACCTCTTTCTGAGAACATGCCCTATCCTGCTGGGTCCCTCACTGGAGACCAGATCAGGAAAGAGCAGGCAAACCCTACTGTCACCTATACTGGTTCAAGTGGCCACCCTAGGGTGACTTCAGGTACCAGTAACATCAAGTCTCATTCTGAGTTCTGTCAGAATGTTCCAGCATCAGGCCATCTTCTAGCAGAAGATGAACAGCCCTGACCAGCACGTGACTGGCCAGAGGGAAAGCTTCAAGGAGGTAGTGATCATCTAGACCACATACCAAAGCGGGCCTGAGGTCCCAAGGCTGCCTCACTGTGGCCTGTTTATGTTCCTGACAAGGGTTTGATGGTTCTGGCAGTAGTACCCTCTGCAGCTGCCACCCCCGCCTGCGATGACTCAGTCTCCTTGAGGGAGACCCAGGAGTTTGGTGCCAAGTCATGCTTGAGAATGCCTGCTGTGAGAATGGCCCTGCTACCACCTCCAGGGATCCCCAAGCACCCAGGTGGGCTCATGCCAGTCCCTCTGCAGCTACCCTCAAGGCATCCCTCGGCCCACCCATGCAGGCTGATGAGTAGGCTTCCTCTTCTACACCGGCTGAGCTTCTATTTCCACCCTCTTTACAGAGAGCTGCCTCCTCCCCTCCATGTTCCTGGGTAGCTCAGCTCCAGCAGGGACCCATCCAACTCAGCATCATCTTCACACTGCTCTCCCTCCTCTGTTCCATCACAGCCCCATCTCGTGGGACTTGAGCCAGAAAAGCAAGAGTCAGAGAGATCCTCTCCCCCTCTCCCATCCTGGCTTGCTTACCCCCAACCTGCTCTTCATTCTGGTTGAATCCTGTTACTTCAAACTTCCCAAACTGCAGGCTCTGTGCCTCCAGGCCTTTGCACAAGCTGTGCTTTTTTGTCAGAACATACCTCCCTTGGCTTTGATGATTAAAGAGCAGTTCAGATATCACCTCCTCTGAGAGCCCTCTGATCTCCCCACTCCCAGCTGGGTGAGCTTACCAAGTTGAACTCCTTAAACAGTACAGATTCAGGGGCGGGGATGGAGGGGTGGAGAACCAGATTTTGACCTCCACTGTCCTTTCACTGCTTTCAGGGTATCCCTAACTCCAGGCTCACATCCCACCCTATCCTACCCTTCATATCATTTGCTAGTGGGAGGATTTCTAACATGCAAATATGATCAGAGTTCACCCCCTAGTTCTTCAGGGGCCTTACAGTCTGGGGAATAGATAGGCATACCAACTCCTGGCATGCAAATCTAGAGTTATTCATGCCTGACCCAAGTATTCACTGAGCATCTGCTATATGCTAGGTCTAGTGTGAGGCACTAGAAGATTAAGGCAGTGAACCCCAAAATCAAAGTCCCTGCTTTCACACAGTTTGCTTTCTAGAAGAGTGAGGAAATGATAAATAAGAATTGCCAGGGGCCGGGCATGGTGGCACACCTTTAATCCCAGCACTTGGGGAGGCAGAGTTAGGCAGATCTTTGTGAGTTCGAGGCCAGCCTGGTCTACATAGTGAGTTCCAGGACAGCTGGGGCTACAGGGAGACCCTGTCTCAAAAAGCCAAAAAAAAAAAAGAAAAAAAAAGAATTGCCAGTAACAGGACACCCTGGGAAGACAGCCACCACAACAAGGCAGAGCAGAAATATGCTGGGGGACACCATTGATTTAGCGCAGGAAGAGCTTGTTTTCAGATGCAAGATCTGATTAGCCATCTAAAGGAAGTAAGACAGCAAGCAGTGTGGACCTCTGGGGAAGAGCATTTCAGGCAGAGGGACTGGCCAACAGGTGCAAAAGTCATGAGATGGGAAGGTGCCTGCTTTGCTTGAAGACCAGCAAGGAGGCTGGTGTGGCTGCAGCTGAGAGGTCCCTGATGGAGGGGTACATCTGGAGAGACGTAGAGGTCCACTTGTGCCTCCTCCAGGAGGTGGCATTGAAGTCTTTTTGGACCACTGAACAGGATTTCAGAGGGGGAGAGGATATGAGTTTACCCTGTGCCTAACAGAGAGCCCTTCCCCAAATGCAACTCATGGCTTGGTTTGGGGTTGGGTGGGACTTTGGGGACAGAAACCAAAAGGCCTCTAAAGCCAGGGAGTTTTGAGCAAGGAAGCAATTCTGTTGGGTGAAGTTTAAAATGAATCTGGCTGCTGTGGGGACTGAGGGTGACAAACCAAGGAGCAGGCAGTGAAGGTCCCTGAAGCACCGGGCCCGAAGACAGTCTGGCCCACAGTGTGTGTTGGATGAAGGAGGCAGGGGTGCACAGAAGGCCTGTCCTCTTCCTTTACGCTGGGATTTTCAAGAGCACAATCTGTGTTTCTCTCACATCCAGAACCTACCTGGCCAATGCCTAGTGAAGGGCCACCCACCCAGACACAGTCGGGTGACAGCGGACTCTGCTCACTCTGCAACACCCTCAAGATGCGCACACACCCATCCCTTGACAGGCGCAGCCCATGTCCACGTGACCCATGCTCGCACACCACTCCATCCTGAAATGCACCCCCGCACCCCCACACCCCCACAGACGCACAGTCCTGTGTCCACGTGACGCACGCACACACGCCTCCAAACACCATACACAGCTCCCCACGCACGTGTGCACCCCTCAGAGCACCAGTCCTGAGTCCACCAGGCCCAGAAACCGCAGCGCCCGCCTCCGCCGCCCCCAGCCAGGGGACGACTGCGCAGCTAAAGCCGCAGGCTGCATCCGTCCCATTCATCACCCCCGCCCCCAGCTCTCCACGGAAGACTCACGGGAGGGCCGTGGGAGGAGCGCTCTGCCGAGATCCACACGTGGGTGCACCCGTCCGGGCCTACTCCGCATAGACACGACCTCCACCCAGAGCCCGGGCACAGCGCGTGGGGTGCAGATGCAGTCCCTCAGACAGGAGCTGCAGAAGGGACGCGGATGGCTGAGCGCCCGCGTAGACGCGAGCTTGGCTACTGGCTTAGACTGAAGCAGGCTCGGGGTGACACCTCGCAGACTCGGTCCCGCAGACAGACCCGAGGGCGCTACACCGGCCAGGTCCTGGCTGCCCTCGTAGACGCGGCCTCTCAGGCCACCCAGCTCTCCAGCAGGCTCGGAACACAGGGCGGCTCAGGCGTTCGCACCCAGTTCCTGGCCCCAGGTCCCTCCGCGCCGACCGTACCTCGAACCCCGGCGACAGTCTCCGCGGGCGCCAGGCTCGCTCCCGCGGCGCGCACCCCGCCCCGCCCGTTTGCCTGGCTAGGATCGCCAAGCTCAACCCGCCGGCGCCGCGGCTCCAGGCTGCCCTAGCTCCCCCGCCCGCCGCCGCGCCGGCCCACGTTCATTGGCTGCGCCGCGCGGCGCCCCCTAGTGCCGCCCAATCAGAGCTCAGGCCTCCCGCCCGCTTCTGGAGGGGCGGGGCCGTGGCCGGTCGGGGCTCTAGAGGGGCCCTGCGGCTGAGCCTCTCAGAGTCACGCCCCCGGCGCTCGCGGGCGAGCAGGGGGATCCCGAAATCCCATTCTGACAATGTCGTGTACCCCCTCAGCTGGGCCTAAAGGGTATGAGGGCGCTGCCCCCAGACTCAGTCTCCCCGATCCCGGTCTGCCAGGACTAGAGCATCCCTCCCTCAGTGGGGGAGCCTGGGAGGGGCAAAGCTGAGGCCGGGAGAAAAGGGCCTGAAGTGGGAGGCCCTGGAGTTGAGTGCTCTCCTAGGGTGGGCGGAAGCCAGGAGATGTTCAGCAAAGTGCTTAGGTCGCGAGGCACTCAGGTTTGAGGAAGTGAGCAGGAGGCAGCAAGCCCCTAACAAGCAGAGAGGAGGAAGCCCGGCAGAACCAAGTGGCCTTGGCTGTCTGTGGCTGTGCTGGGGATTCTGCCCTTCCCCGACCCTTCGTTCGCTTCTGTCATTAGTTACTTGGGAATCCCTAACCACTACTTGCTGCAAATTCAGACCCATATCGCTGTCTCCAACCTGGTCTCCTGTGTCCCTGTTCCAAGCTAGAGACAGAAACCTGGAGTCACCTGCAGCCTACCTGTTTTCTGCCCCAACCAGTCTAGCACAAGGTTCTGTGCTGCTGCTTCTCGGAATCTATTTCCTTCCACCTCCTGCCCCTCTCTTAGCTCAGGTCACCATAGTCCTGTCATGTGCTTGATTGCTTGCAGCAGCCTCCTCACTGGCCTCCTACCCCCATCCTGTCTCACTTCCCACTGGCCTTTGTAGGGCAACCAGCGCAGGCTTTCAGAAGCACAAAACAGCTGCTGCACGGGATTTTCCATGGCTCACCACTACCCTGAGAATAGGTCCACTAAGCCCCCCATAGCTCACGCCTCACCATCCGCCTGCCTAATTCCTGCTTGTCCCTCTGGGATCAGTTCAATGCCCCTGCTGCCAGGAAGCCTTCTCCATGACCTCACTATCCATCATGGCCAGCAGCCCTTTCTTGGGAGCTTCTCTGAATTCTGCACCCTGCCTGCTCCTCATCTGGAGAAGGAACTAGTGAGGTTCAGGATTGTACTTGAATTTGTCTAGCATAGCCTGAGCCATCATAAGTGCCCAGTAGATATCTGTTGAATGAATAACTACTTGGATGCAGCAGTTGGAAGATTAGATCTATACAGCAGGAGTTCATGAAAATGGGCTGAGCCAGAGACTCCCCCAACCCCACTGCTGGGGATTGGACCCAGGGATTCAAGCTAAGCAAATGCTGTCCTGCTGAGCTACTCACCAATCCAAAGAGACGGGTTTGAGAGTCCTCAGAAAGGACCCATAATAGTAAATAGAGCCATGGGAAAGGATCAATCAGAGCAAATAAAGCAAGGCTCAGAGCAAAGCATTTGTCCCAGATAGGATCAGAATTCTGACCTAGCAACAACTTCACACAGAAGCCTCAAGGAACAGTCCTTGGTTCTCCTCCACAAAAACCTCCCAGATGTGGCTTCCTCCACTCAGTACTCCAGCAACCTCTGGAGGTGGCTCTTGTCCTTATGTTTCAGAATAGGGGCCAGAGCTCCAGTCACTAAGTATGCATTCCAGGTGTTGGAATGGGGAAAAAGAACAAAGAAGAGGGCAAAGGATCAACACCAACTTTCTTAAAGAAAGCTCCCAGAAAGTGTCACATGGCCTCCCCCCCCAACACATCCCACTAGCTTGAATTTTGTCATATAACCAGACCCAGTTGCAACAGGAGAATACAACTTTCATTCTAGGCAGCCATGTGCCCAACCAAGGAGCAAGGGTTAGAACACCAAGAAGAGAATATACACCCCTGTTCAACAAGCCCTGGCATCTGTCAGACTGTGCTAGGCACTTCACATGTAAATCTCTTACCCCAACCCTAGCAGAGGCTGCCATTGCCCCTAATATACAGAGGAGCCTTGGAGAAAAGCAACCTGCCCAGAAACACAGTGAAGTGTGGCAGGGCTGCAGGAGACCTCTGGCCTCTGTATACCAGGTTGGAAGGAGTCACTGAACAAAAGTGCTCAGGCAACTGTCAGATGCTGGTGGACCAAACAGGACATGGGCCCAACTGTCTGTATGGATTTGGCAACAAGGACTCTGCTAGTGACCTTGGCAAGGGTGTCTGGAAGTGGGGGGTGGAGGCCAGTTGCAGAGGGAAATATGAACTGGTCTTTCTGGAAGTGTGGCAATGAAGGGGGAGTAGGCTAGTCTGCAGGAGAGCATGGGCCAGAGGAGGAGACAGGAGAGGAAAACACACAGGTGTATGAGAGAGGAGGTGGCCTCGGCACAAGGTGTCTGGATTGGTTGGATACTTTTTTCTGCCACTTAGGAAGGAAGGGGCAGGAGGTAGAAGCAGCTGGAGTTGGAGAAGGAAAGGAGGGTAGAAGAACGTGGTTTTTCTTTAAGGAAAGTACCAGAAGGCCAAGGTCTGAGAGTGAGAAGAATGGCCTGTGCTGTCTACTCCATTACTCACTGGCCACATACAGCTATGTCAATGAGTTAAAATAAATAAGAGGTGGGAAATGGTTGCCCATGCCTTTAATCTCAGGACTCAGGAGTCAGAGCTAGATGGATTCCTGTGCGTTCAAGGTCAGCTTGGTCTATATAGTGAGTTCTAAGCCAGCTGGGGCCATAGGGAGACCCTGTCTCAAAATAACAAAACATAATAAAAAAAAAATAAGAGCTGGGTATGGTAGTGCATGCTTGTGATCCCAGCATTTGGGAGGCTGAAGCCAGAGGATCAGGAGTTCCAGACCAACTCAAGCAAACCAGTGTTTCACTGGCCAGATTTCAGGTGCTCATTGGCTACTTGTGGCAAGTACCCACCAGACTGGACAATACAGACAGAAAGAAGGTTTCTGTCACTATGGGAAGTTGCACTAGACAGACTGGTCTAGACAGAACAGGGTAGGGGTGCTTGGCTGACTGTAATCCCAGGTTGAAGGGATTGCCTTCGCTGGACCCTGGGGAGTCCTCCATTCTCCAGCCAGAAGACTTACTCTGTGGGATGCTTTCAAATCCTACCCCTGGGACAGCCATCCCTGTTTCCTGAGGCTGCTCCTGGGGTTTTGTACAGCATCCACATCCAGGGGAGGAGCTTATTCAGGATTGGGAACTTATACACAGAGACAGGGCTCAGGGACCTCCCTGAGCCTACTGAGCCAGCCGGTGTACAAGAATCTCAGCCACTCAGCCCAGCAATGCATCTCACTGCTGTGCACACTGAGCTTCAGAGAGGTTTGGAAAGAAAGCAAGGAAGAAAAGAAATTTGTCCTCATTTCTTTTATTGTACTCCACCCCTTGCTTCCTCAGCCCTCATGTTTCAGCCAAGCTGGGCAAGCCATGAGAGCTGGGCCTGGGCCATGGGCAAGAAGCCAGGATTTGGTCAGGCTTATATCCCCACCCGAGGTAGCTGAGTAAGGTTCCATGGCTAAATGGGCAGGCCTATCCTGACTCCCTCGAGAAGGAGCATCTCCCCATGGGGGGAACACAGCATGGACCACATATCTCTGCTTCGGGTGTAGGTGTGTTCAGATGGCCGGGTTTGCAGTACCCAAGCTGTTCCCACCCACAGTGGGGATGGAGGGCTGATTGCATATGGGAATATGCACACAGGGCTGTGTGAATCCCTGTATGGCACATGAGCATGCTGCACACTTGCTGGAGGTGTTTGAGCCCCTGCTCAGTGCCTGCACCTGCCAGGTGGTGCTGGCCCAAGGCTGAGGCTGCTATGGCTAGACCAGAAAAGCTTTAGGACAGCAATTCTTAAGCCTTGGCCTGGGGATTTGCTATCTATGCTTCCGGTTGAGGAGGTGGGTGTATGCCCTGGCATCCACACTGTTGATGAGCCTCCGTCCCAGGGTAATCCAGCAGAAGCAGGGCTCCAGTGGGTCTGCCCCAGCAGAATTTTCTCCAATGAAAACACCCTGTGCTGTCCAGTATGGCAGCCACTGACCACATGTGTCTCCTGAGCTAGTTCAACTGAGGCATCTTTTTATTACATTTTAGTTAATTTAAGTTCAAATAGTCACCTGTGGCTAGTGACTGCCATGTGGAAGAGCACAGATCTAGGCAGTTGAGGGCGTGGGATGGAGAGGGCCTGGGCCATAAGCACAAAGCTAGGGTACAGGTACATGAGGGGTCTGGCCATGTGGGGCCTTTTGGACTCAGAGTGGCTGAGACTCGAATGGGGATCCCTTGGGGGTGTGGAGTTGGAACCACATCCCCAAATTGCACAGCCTTGCCTGTATCTACCCTGAACTGAAGGCAAATTGGTGTCTGCCTGGCAGAAAAGCCCCTGGGGACAGCCTCCAACCCGGCTGGAAGCTGCCAGCCTTTGCTGGAAGCTATGCACTGGGTCAAGTCCAGAGCCCAAGGCTGAGGTCAAGAGGTCCTCATGTTCTCCTGTAGGCCCAGAGTAGAGCTGGTGGCCGCGAGGTCATGTTCACCCTGTGTGTAATATGAGGATAAAGTCAGGGCCAGGGAAGCACTGCCCCACCAATCCAGACACACAGGCCTGAGGTCTTTGAAGGGTTCTGCTCAAGAAGTTGACTTACCTCCCCTGGCCCCATGTCTTCCGCATACTTGAACTTTTTCTGCTTGTAGTAGTGCCTCTTGGGCAGGATGTAGAGCAACAAGAGGTCACAGAGAACTGTGGCCTGGGGACAGGAAGGGACACAGATGGAGCATAAGAATCTAGGGCAATACAGAACCATCCATGTCCCATAGTGGTCCCTATTGACAGTGGTCCTGACTAAACCCTGCCAGTAGCCCTCTGCTTCCTGGAGATGGGACAGGTACTATAACCCCTCAGGGGACCAAGCCAGCCCCATCCCATCTCTCTCCTGTCCTAGTTCTGACCCTCAGTTTCCCCAGGTACACTGAAGCTATAGAGTGATGGGGAAGGCAACTGCTGCCTCAGTCATGATAGACAGCTATGGTTAAGTTTTGAGGTTCTGCTAAATGTGGAAGAAGACCAGCTGAGCCCAGCATAGCAACCATGTGGCCCTAGCACTTACCACCCCAAAGATGCCAATCCCAGAGCCAATGGTGGTCATGGTAGGAATGATGTCAAACTTCCCAGCCTGGTGGCAGGGCCCAAAGGAAAGCAGGGTCAACAGAAGGGGACCAGCTGGAAAACCTCAAGCCCAGGACAAAGGGGTTTCCCCAACCTTCCTCCCTCAACTCTGAACTATTCCCAGTGCCCCATGGCCCAGGGCTCTGACCCTCCTTGAGAGCCAGCTGCTGGTCAGTAGATCTGGGTTTTGTCCTTGGCTCTGCTTTCCTGGACTCAGGGAGATGGCAGGGGAGGCATATCGGTGGCTCAAAGCCTGACCACAGTCATCACCCATGCCCACAGTCATTAGAAGCAGCTCTCTGGAACAAACCCACCCCATCCTACTTGTCACCTGTAACTACAGACACCTCAAAGCAGGAAGGTAGCCTGGCTGCCATCATTTGCACAGGACACTCACCTTCCCATCCACCAGGATGTCAAAGCGAATCCCAAACACCTTGAAGAGGTGACGGCGGTTGGTCCCATTCTGTACAAAGTGTCTGGCAAACCTGGAGAAAGGGCAAGTAGCAGGAGAAGGTGACAGAACCACCTTGGATGCCAGAGCATCAGGGACACCGTAGCCCCATCCTCCCGGCATTAAAGAGGAGGAACTTGGCACTTCCTTCCAGAAGGGTCAAGCCCAGCTCTGTCCTGACTCCTGCCGGCTAGATCTCCTGGGGACAGCGACCCAGGACAGGGCACTCAAGCTTCCAAGATCTTGTTTCCTGCTGGCTTCCTGTTTGTCCACCCACACAGAATGGAGACCATCCAGGGTCCTCTAGTCTCCTCTGGGGACACTTGTCAACCTATGGGATTCCAGGAATAGGTGGGAGTTTGGCAGGTACCTGAAATTGAAGCCTGGAGATAGATTTTTCTCCCCATACAATCCATGGAACTGGTAGATGGGTTTGCAGTGCCGGACATGCCAGTCTAGGTCGCACTCCCAGTCAATGGTGATGCCAACCACCCCTCCCTGCCAAGGACATAGGCACATAAGATCTGGGCTTTCAGGGTTAAAGACTCCTGTCTGGGCCAGTGAGATGGCTCTGTGGGTAAAAACACTTGCTGCACAAGCCTGACAACCTGAGTTTGATCCCTAGCCACCATGTGTGGGATGGGAACCAAATCCAGGTCCTCTGCAAGAGTAGCCAGTGCTCTTAACCACTGAGCCATCTCTCTAGCCCCATTGGTTGTTTCTTGTTTTTATTTTTTTGAGAACCCAGTCTGGCCTTGAACTTCTGCAGCCTGTTTCTGATGCCTCTGTGCTGGGATTACAGGCATGTGCCACCACACCTGGTTTGTCATATGTTTATTTTATGTGATTATATATTGACCTATCTCCCTCAAGATTGTGGGGTCAGAGCTATCTGGCACCCATCACTGTTTCTGAGTCATAGTTCAAGTTACGGTTGCAGCCTTTGAATTAGTGACCCATGAAGTATGGGAAGAAAGCACTTAAGAAATGAAGCAGGCAGGGAACAAGACAGGTGGGTGGGCTAAGCCTCAGGACAAGAGTGGGGAGGTGATCAGAGAAGTGATCAGAGAAGCAGGAGCTGAGCAACTCAGCAGCGAGGAAGCTGGAACAGAGATCCAGACGTGGCAAGGGCAGGGAGGGTTCTGGGAACAGGGTGGTGGGCACATGGTAAAACATGAAGCCCCTACAGAATCAGGCAAACCCCAAAGCCTGAACTATTAACCACTGTCTATGGCTGTGTTGGCTTCCACCACAGACCTGGTTACCTGAAAAGCTAAGGACTATCTGGTTCTTGAAAGCAAACATCGGCCTTACACAGTTGTGTCCTGAGTGGGGCTTGCTGGCGTCAACACAGAAAAGGGGCTGCTTGTCATCCCCACATAGGCAGCTGCAGGAGCAGATGTAGTAGGGACCAGATGAGAACAGGACATAGGATTGCCCCATACCTGGCAGAGCATGATCTGCTTCTCCCAGCACCCCAAGGAAAATGGTGCTTTTCCTGTCCTCACTGACAAGCAGTTCTCACACATGCTGAACTTAAGGGACCCGTCTGAGGTCACGCTCTTGTTGAGGGGCAGAGCAGGATTTGAACTCAAACAGCAGCTCCTAGATCATTACAAAGGGACTGTTCGTCTTGGAATCCACAGAACCAAGAAGATCTCTGGCATGGGATTTCTCAGGGCCTCCCACAATGGGATCCAGGAGACTTTTACCTAATAACTTTTTTTTTTTTTTTTGTCCTTTTGAGACAGGGTCTCCCTATAGCCCCAGCTGGCCTGGAACTCACTATGTAGACCAGGTTGGCCTTGAACTCACAGAAACCCGCCTGCCTCTGCCTCTCAAGTGCTGGGACTAAAGGTGTGTGCCACCACGCCCGGCTCTAATATCTTTTTTTTAAATATTTTTTTATTTATTATTTTTATTTTTTTATGTGTATGTGTGTATTACCTGCCTGTAGGTAAGTGCACCCATGTTGTGCAATGCCCATGGAGGACAGAAGAGGCTGTCAGATCCCCTGGAACTGGAGTTATGGACAGTTTTTAGCTGCCATGTGGGTGCTGGGATTTGAACCCAGGTCTTCTGCAGGAACAACCAGTGTTTTAACTGCTGAGCCATCTCTCCAGCCCCATTTTACCTAATATCTTAAACATAGCAGGAGCTGGGCAAGGTGGCATATATCTGTAATCCCAGTGCTCAGGAGGCAGAAACAGGAGGATTGCTACAAGTTTAGGCCAGCTTTGTCTACATAGTGAGTTCCACACTAGCTAGCCAAGGCTACCTAGTGAGACATAGTCTCAAAAGACAACAAGGGGCTGGAGACAACAAGCAGCAGTTAAAGGACTGGCTGCTCTTGCAGAGGACCCAGGTTTAATTCACAGCATCCACATGGCAGCTAACAACCATCTATAACTCCAGTTCCAGGGGCTCCGATGCCCTCTTCTGACCTCCAAAGGCATTGCATGACACAGGTGCACTTACATACATGCAGGCAAAACACTCATACACAATAAATAAAAAAATTTTAAAGACAACAATGACAAAAACAATAGTTATACTTTGGGCCAGGAGTACAGCTCAGTGCACACACCTACAATCTGTGTTAAGAAGGCAGAAGCAGAAGGATGGGGATTTTGAGACCAGCAGAGGCTACATAGGAGACCTTGACTCAAAACAACAAGAAAAAAAAATAAAATAAAAATAAAAATAAATAAATAAATAAAGCAAGACACCAACAAACATCCAGGTGATGGTATCTGTCCACGTCCATTCCATCTTGGAGGCAGGTCCAGGCACAGCCCCACTGAGGGTACTAGGAGACAGTCCCATGCACATACTTAGCCTGTACCAAGCAAGTTTGGGAGTAAGGATTGTGACTCTCCCTGCTGGCACCACCCCATCCCATCCATACCTTCTCAGCCAGACTGCGGAAGTCCTGGCCTGACTCTCGCACCACATAGCCAAGGCTGAAGACTGGGCACAGTGGGTGCAGGGTCTTGTGAAATAGACATTTCTTCATATAAGTGCTATTCACCTCCTCCACCAGGTTGCGCCTGTGAGAACGGGATGGGTAACAGTTGTGTGCCAATTTAGGAGGGTGCCCACTCTGCCCCACAGCTCTAGGGAACCCTCAAGACTCTAGAGTGCCCCTTGGGCACACCCCCTCCCCCCGCCACCAGGACTCTGACCAGGCTTCTGCCTCTGAGTGTGAACAGCCCGAGTGGAGGGAACCTGCAAGTGGAAGGGGCAGCTGCATCTGCTGCAAGTCACCTGCGTTTCTGCCCACTTTTCCCACCAACCTGTTGACCTTGAATCGTGGAAAGCTGATGCTGTTCTTGATGAAGAGGGTGAAGTTCTCTGCCTCATGGAGAAGGGCAGGGCTAGGGGAGAGGCACTCACTCAGCATCCCTCCCCAAGAGTGCCCATGTATCCTGAAGAGCTTGGCATGTGTGAGGAGCACATGGATTCTCTTGCAGCATGTATTGGTGTGTGTGGAGGGGGGTAGCCATGCTGCAGATGGTGCGGGACTCACAGGCCTCTGGATCAGGGGGACTCTTTGGCTTGGGTCACATGGATAGGGCAAGGGTGGGGTCAGTAGACGGAATTGATCCTTGCCAGATCCAGATGCTTGTGTCTGGGTCAGCTGGACCCCGGTTGTCTTAGGAACAGGCCAGAGTGTCCCAGAATGTACCTGCTGACTACAGATTTATGGCTTCTGTAGGTTATGCTTGGTTTGCTTCTGCAAAATAGTAATTGTTACTTAATAGAATAGAAATTATTAAGGGGATTCTCCACCTGTAAGCTTGGGAACTTAAGTTTTTCACCCCTGGTTATGATTTCACTATATAAAAGCTTACCCTGGAGATAGCTCGGTGCTATGCACTTGGGTTCCTGACACCCTTGTGTAGTGGCCCTGACCAGTAACGACTTTCATTTGGCAAAACTTTGCCTGAGTGGTCTTCTCTAGTGAAGCACCCCACAACAAGGACATCAATTACCTTGGGATCTTATCGTCCACCTCCACAGGACACCAGCCAAAGATCTCACATGTCTGCACAGTGTTGTTGAAGGCCACACACTTGCCTGTGCGGATACCTGCAACAAGGGAGGGACCCCTGGGTGCCCACCCTATGCTGGATATTTGAGGCGAGGCAGCTAAGAGCCAGGATGGCAGGAGGGAAAAAGCAGGATAGACAGCCCTCAATGGAGGACAGCTTGGTGGGAGGAGAAAGGCACATGCAAGCCAGGTGGCCGGGGAGGTGGCAGGAAGGGTCTGGCCTTACCCTGGGCCTTTCTTTCTGCTTTTCCAGGAGTGCAACCACTGTCATCCTTGCATAAGCCACCTTCTGGGTTCTGGTTGGGGGGGGGTTGCTGACCTCAGGCTTCGTAGTGAGTTCCCAGCCTCTCCTACCCCCCAAGACCCTAGAGAAGCTGTGGGGCAGAATCTCTGACTCTGTGAGATGACCTCAGCTCACAGCGTCCTTGACCCACATGGGTTTACAACTGGCTGTTGAGTGCTGTTGTCAGTGGGCAGGGGACAGGAGGTTGAGGTAGGGATGCCCAATGCCCAACAATGGCATTAGCAATGGCTGAGGGTTATTTTGTGTGACTCTGTGTTCAACATTGCACCATGGCTGCTGTAGAAAGCCTGTCACCATCACCACCAAGGCCCAAGGGGATCCCACGTCCATGTCATCTCTCCTATGGGTTCACAAAAAGGGACAGAAATCCTCACCTCCGCACAATAGCCTTGAGCCTGCTGTGGGGTCACAATGAAATTGGTCATGACCACGAAGGAGCTGTCCCCCTGGAAGTGAGGGGCAGGGAGATAGTGGGGTTGGGTTGAGAGAACAGCCCCAATAATCTAAACACTGCCCCAGCAGGCCCCTAGAACCCACATAGCACCCAGCAGAAACCACACCCCATGATGTCACTGTGGGGTGAAAGGACTAGTCTCACAATCAGAGAAACTAAGGCCCAGAGAGTAGGGATCTGAACTGAGCCCTCAAGGATCCCTGAGTCAGGGACTATGGGAGGGTAGTGCACTCCTGAGCCAGCTTACCTGTGCAGGGAAGACATAATCAGCCACATCCCAGATCTGGGGCCCGAGGCCCTGGAGCTGGGTCACAGCCAGGCCCTTGAGCTTCACAGACACACTGCTGATGAGGCCACTTGAGGTCTGGTATCCCTTCTCATAGACAAACACCCACCTGCCAGGGTGACAGCGGAGTTATGGCTCTGGCAGAGCTGGGCAGGCATTCAAGGACAACAAGTGGCTGTGAGGGCTACTGCCCTTTCTGCCATGCTCTGAATTTCCTCTTGCTCTCCTTAGATGCCTCTCTAGTCACTCTGCTTCCCCAGCAGCTCCCCAGACTGGAGGCAGGACAGCCTCATTGCCCATCTTTTACTGGCCTGGGCCTGAACTCTGTCAGCTCTGCCAGGGAGGAGACCGATTCACAAACCTACTGCACGTCCTTCCCAATTCTGTTTCAAAAGCCATTTGCTAAGGCCTAGCAGCCAACTCTTGACCCTAGTCCTTCCCATTGCTCTCTTTCTTTCCACATAACTTCTTCCAGCAAAGTTTGTGGGCTGCTCAGAAGATTGGTTTTGCAGCCAGCCCTACTCTTCAGTGCTGTGAGATTTGGAGTAAGTTCTTCAGCCTCTCCTTCTTTATCTATAAAATGGGAACAATGTTAGTACTTGTTGACATTGAGTTAATGTAAGAAAGCTTAGGATAGGGCCTGGGACCTAGCAAAGGCTATGTAGACATCATCTGCCATTACATCTCAGCCATACTGGATGGAGCTCCCAGGAATGAGAAGAGGAGGAGAAAGGGAAAGGAAGCCAGAATAGGGGACTGTGACCTGTTGCTTAGAGCAACTCTTCTCCCTAGCCCTGGCTTTTTTGTGAGTGGCTCACTTTTGATCTGGAAGGGTTAGTGGGACTGACTGCACTTCTAGTCCCAGGGTTAGGCACATGGCCAAAGCTTGCCAATCAATGCTCTGCTCCCATGGCAGCAGTGATGGGGCTAATCATCCCCACCCGGCCAGAGGGCTATCAGCCAAAAAAACAGGATTTTTCTGGGATTTACTAGGAAAGAGACTTCCTCTGTACTTGGTGGCTAAGCAGGCTGGCTACAAAGCCAACATTACCATTAACCATCTTTGCCTTCTCCATGAACCAGCCTGAGGATGAAGCCAGCCTCAAGGATGATGGAACCAGGAGATGGAGAGTGGCAGACTCCTGACCATGTTGTTGGAGTTTCTGGATCCAGCTAGGTCTGAGTATACTTGAAGAGAAAAATCTACTTCCTGACTTTGCTGGAGCATGAGCCAACAAATTCGCTTACTTTGTGAACCAGTTTAAGTTTCATTTCTGTTGCTTTCAACTGGAACTTCTGTATCTCACTTCTCTCTCAAGGCAGCCTCTTCCTTTGGAAAAACTGTTGGTGTAGATTCAGGGTGTGTGTGTGTGTCCGTGCGTTGCCCGTTGGAGCAGGTAGATGCAGCCTTCCACAGGGAAGAGCCTATAGGTAGCCGCGCTCTCCTGCCTCCGTCCTCTGCCTTACCAGAAACTCACCTGGATAGGCAGAGCTCAAAGCTATCTACTGTGCTCCTGTGCCCCAGAGCTCGGGCCTGGGGACAAGATTCTTCAGGCTCTAGTCCCAGAGTCCCAAAGTGCTGCCATCTCCCTGTCCCAGGCAAAGGGCAGCCCACCACTGGCCTTTCCTCCCTCAATCCTCCTTCCCTCTGCTTCTCTGCTCCTTGAGACAACCCCTTTCCCAAGCCTAAGTACGGTCACTGCTTCCCCCTGCAGGCCCCAGACAGCAACAACCGAGGCAGGCCAAAGACAATTCTTGCCAGCTGGCAGCCAGGTCAGGGAGAGAGGCTCTCTCTCCCTAGGTCCCTTTCCACAGCCAAGCCTCTGCCCTGCATGCCAGCTTGAAGGGGATGCTGTGGGGCAGGGGGCTGTTGCACATTCTGAGCCCTCCTGCCAGGGAAGCCACTGCCCCTTCTGTCTCGGCATCTCCATCCTCACATTCCCAACTGGTTTCTCTCATTACCCAATATCAATATATCATAGGACAGGTGGGGAAACTGAGATCTGAGGGCACACCCCTCCCAAAAGCCTGAAGTCAAGCAGGGCATAGCCTGGGCTGAAGGCCTCCCACCCAAGATTCTGCCCCTAGTCCTGTGCAGTGGCACGGTGCCCACATGCCTCCCAGGAGCCCCACTCCATTCCCCTGCTCTAGGTTGGGACCAATGCATAGTTTCCAGAGAGTGTTTGTTTCTAGGGTTGCTGGTTTTGGAGGTCAAAGACAGATATCAAATCTGGCATTCATACCTCAGTTCTGATAATAACAGAATGACCATGGCACTAGGCCTGTCACTCCAAAGCCATATCTTGACATGATCTTGTGATTACAACTCTGGGAAGACCATCAAGGAGGCCTGAAGTTAAAGACCCTAGCATCTTCAGAAGACCCTCCCCTTCTAGAAATGACCCTTGTCAGTCTTTCTACCTCCCCAGGGATGCCCTTCTCCCTGGGTCAAGGGCACATAGTGGGATGACCCAGGTTTAATTAAGTACTTGCCCTGCCTCTTGCCAGCTGCATGGCTTAAAGATAGAGAACAAACCTCTATGAGCCCCAGTGTGCTCAGTGAAACAGAGAATGCCCCCCTCTTCCTAGCTGCTACCCATACAACACATACTTAGCAACACCGTGTACTAAGGCCTGGCATGGGCCCACAGAAACAAAGGCATCTTGGTAACTGGGGAGGGTTCTATGAATTCTCTTTCAAGAAATTATCAAAGTAACTGGCATGCAGTTAGGCACATGGAAATGAAAATCCTTCTTTTCTACCATCTGGGCCTTCTTCACTAATTCCCTTTTCCACATCCATCCTCCTCATTGCCCTGGATTCTGTTCTTAGCTCTGAGTGAATTGTCACAGGCACACTTGTCCCCCAGATTTCTACTTCCACATTCATGGTCTGTCCCTGAGATTCAATCTTACACATTTATTTATTCACTCAACAAATATGTATATGTCAAGCCCATATTACAGGCCAAGCACCGCTCTAGACATTAAGCTACAGAAGTCAGCAAAACCCAAAACCCTGCCCTCAAGGAGTCTATACAATATCAACTACATCTCCAGTTGTTCGGTGTGATGGTTAATGCTGATCATCATCTGGATTGCAACTGGTGTCACCTAGGAGACTCACCTCTGGGCATGTCTGTGAAGGCATTTTCAGAGAGGATTAACTGAGTGGGGAGGACCTATCCTCAGAGTGGGCAGCACCTTCCAACAGGTGGTCTGGATATAAAGAGGTCTGAGGAAAGAGCAGTGCTGCCTGCCTGCCTTCACGTCTTCCTGAGAGTGTGTCTATTGCCACTGCAGCCATGGTCACTGCCGTCCTTCACTGACATAGACTCGAGTTTATTGTCTAATGTGGACTGAGAACCAGAGACTCTCCAGGGAATTTCCAGGCCTTCAGTGCCAGACGGGGACTGCTGAGGCATCCAGCTTCATGGACTGAGCAGCCACCAGGTTCTCAACCTCTCTAGTGTGCAGACAGCTATGGTTGGACTACCCAGGCCATATCTATCACACAAGTCAATTTAGTGAGTCCCTTTTATAATATACATCCACTCTATCAGTTCTGCTCCTGCAGAGAACCCTGCCTAACACAGATTTGGGTCCTGAGGAATGGAGCTGCTGCTGTGACAAACCTGACCATGTAGACCTTAGGCCTTTGGGACTGGTTTATGGAAGAATTTGGAGCTGTAGGCTAGAGAAGCCCTCAAACACTGAGCAGAGCTTAATGGGTCATTCTGGAAGGAGTTTTGGGGACAAGAATGCTGACAGAAATGCAGACATGGAGGTCACGCTCATGAAGTTTCACAAGGGAACAAGGACTCTATTGGGAACTGGGCTAGAGGTCATTAATTTTTGTTTATTGTTGTTTTTGTTTGTTTTTGTTTTTTGGGTTTTTTTTGAGACAGGGTCTCTCTTTACTCACATCTGGTCTGGAACTCTCTATATAGACTAGACTGCCCTCAGTCTCACAGAGATCCATCTGCTTCTGTCTCCCAAATGCTGGTTTTAAAAGCATGCATGCCATCCCTGGGCAGGGCTATTCATGTTATATTCTGACAAAGAATCTGACTTCATTCTGCCTGTATCCTGAGAACTTAAGTGAGGCTAAATTAAAAAGTAATAGGCTAATTTGTTTGACAGAGGAAACTTTGTGAGACTGGGTTTCCTGTATCCCAGCTTGGCCTCAATGCACTATGCAGCTGAGAATGACCTTGAACTCCTGCTTCCACCTCCTCAGTGCTAGCATTACAGGAGTGCACCTCCATGTCCAGTTTATGTGGTATCTGGGATTGAACACAGGGCTCTGTTCAGGATAGGCAAACATTCTACCGACTGAACTACATCTTCAGCCCTATCAGGAATTTCAAGGGAGGTTTACTCAAGCAGAGGAGACCCACCATGAATTTGGACAGCACCACGCCAGGCACTGGGGTCCTGGCTGAATAAAAAGGAGGAAGCAGGTGGAGCACACAGCATCTGCCTCTCTGCTTGCTGACTCCAGGTACATCACGGTCAGCTGACCCACACTCAAACTGCCACAGCTAGGGCACCTCTCACCACCATACCTTCCCTGTCATGATAGACTGCACCTTCAATCCATGAGCCCAAATAAACCCTTTCATCTTTAGTCATTCTTATTGGGCATTTTGTCACAGCAACGAGAAAGGTAACTAATATACTTGGTGACTCACATCTGCCTTCATCACACCTCAGATATCTCGCAGGTACCTCAAATGTAATGGGACCATTTGGAAAACAGTTCTGCAGTTCCTCAAAAAGTTAAATGTTTTTGCTATAACACAAAAACAATGAGTCTTTCTGTAAGAAACAGTATATTTTAAAATGAAATGGAGATCTTTTTCAAAGGTTAAAAACTCATTCAACTTTATGTCTTACAGGGTTTATACTGAGTTCAATATTGTATAACTGTATTAATTCAACTGTGAACCTAAAAATTTTATATCCACTTTTGAAAGAGATGTATCTTTGCTCTGGAAATTGTTATTGAGGATGTTAAAGCTGTAAGGAAGTGCATCTTCTAAAAAATAAAAAAAAATTTAAAAATTTAGGCAGAAGTAAAAAAAAAATTAAGTGTGTAATTTCACTTGACATGACAACTCCGCTACCAGGGAGAAAATATATATCCAAAATACTCAGGGCCGCATTGTTCATAAGAGCCAAAAAGTGGAAACAACCTAAAATGTCCAACCACAGATCCATGGCTAAACAAAATGTGATGAATCAACACATGGAATATTATTTAGCCATAAAAAGGATTGTTACACGTTACAACCAACATGGTGAGCAAAAGAAGCTAGACATAAAAAGCCACATGGTGTATGGTTCTAGTTATAGGAAATGCCCAGAAGAAGTAAGGCAGTCTGTGAGAAGGAGTGATGAAAAGGTCTTGAAATTAGCTAGAAGTGGTGATTATACAACTTCGTAAATACAACCTCCAAAATGTGAAGTTTTGTTGATTTGTTTCTTTTGAGACAATCTCATCCTGTAGTTCAGGTTAGTTTAGAACTCATTATGTAGCCCAGGCTAATCCTGAATTCATGATCTTCCTGTCTCAGACTTCTGAGTGCTGGGATTATGGATATGTACCACTCACAGTGTCTGAGCAGATTAGATAGATAGATAGATAGATAGATAGATAGATAGATAGATAGATAGATAGATAGAGAGTCTGTGTAGCCCCAGCTGTCCTAGAACTCGCTATGTAGACCAGGCTGGACTCGATCTCATAGAGATCTGTCTGTTTCTGCCTCCTGAGTGCTGGGATTAAATGGAGAGCCATTATGTCTAGCCAGAATTGTATTTTTTAAAAGGGATGAAGATAGGCAGGTATGGTGGCATGTGCCTTTAATCCCAGCACTCGGGAGGCAGAGGCAGGCGATCTCTGTGAGTTCAAGGCCAGCCTGGTCTACATAGTGAGTTCCAGGCCAGCTGAGGCTACAGGGAAACCTGTCTCAAAAAGATCAAAAATAAATAAACAAGTAAATAAATAAATAAAAAATAAATAAATAAATAAATAAATAAATAAATGAAGGTGAAGATATAACTCAGTTGTGAAGAGTGTGTTTAGTATGCACAAGGTCCTGGGTCCAATCCCTAGCACCAACTAAATAAAAGACAAGTTAATTAAAAGGGTGACTATCGTGGAGTTTGAAGTCAGTCTTAATGAAAAGTTCCAGTCACCAAACAAAAATTCAGCTGGCTGAGGTGAACTCCCCTGCATAGCTGGCTCCTCCTGCCCCCTCTGTGTCCCCACAGGAGGGCCTGGACTAGGCTGTCTCACAACCAGACCCCTCCAATCAGAACATTCCACTTGTGTCATCACCTTGATCTGGGCCAACACAGGCTCTGTCTTCTAGAGCCTCTTCTTCCCCCACTTGCCTTGGACTTCCAGGAAGAGCATGACCACTAGACACCATAGCCTCAGTTTCTCCCCTTCAAACCTGTTCCATGTATTTGCACCTCAGCCTCTCTGACTGTCTTCCTAAGTCTCAGAGCCTCCTTCATCTAAGCTGTGCTCTAACACTTGTCCTCCCATCCACCTTCACCTTATGTAGTACCTACAGGACCAGGCAGATGGACATGTAGGAAAGAGGAATGTCCTTAGAGCAAGACCCCTCCCTCCTCAAGGAAGAGTAAATGGACCCTTCCAACCCCCATCTCATATAACAATGCAGAAACTGAGGCCTGAGATGCCAAGGTTGGCTCCTTGAGTCAGTCAGTCTGCAACTGGGAGCTCCCAGCTGCAGGGATCAGTGCAGTATCAGGCAGTGGCCAGATGAGGGCGACAGAGACAACAGGTGCCACAGCTGGATATAGCAAGAGCCCCAGGAAAAGCCTGGGTTTGGGAGCCTGGCACACCTTGCCTTTGGTCTGTCATGTGACTTAGGAATAATAAGACCAACTGTGTCCCTCACCTCTGATACTCTCATCCCACACACCGACAAGGGTGACATCCATCTGAAAACTGATGGGCTGTCCTGGGCAGGAAGAAGAGAAGGACGGAGGTGAGATTTCTATCACTGGAGGAATGTATCAGAGCTGGGAGGGCAGTTGGGGCCCATCCTGAAGCAGGGTGTGGGATAGGTGGACTGTCCCTTCCGCTCTGAAACTCTGTGACCAACACGCAAGACAGCCAGGAGCTGCTCACAGCCACAGATATGAAAACAGAACCCGTGTAAGGACAATTTTCAGGCCTCCCCAAGTGAGGGGACAGCTGGACTTGAGTAGCATTTTTTTTTTTTTCTCGGAAATGCTAGAAAGAAGTTAATGGTGGACTTTTTGGCTCCTTTTGTGTTTGGCATGTGGCCATCAGTGCCCATTAGAGAGTTCCCCAGAAATGTTGTGGTGGGAAGGGAGGGAACAGCAAAGGCCCAGGGCTCAGCCTGGTTCTTGTGGCAGACTTGCTTTGTGACCTGGAAACTCCATTGCTCCCCTCTAGACCTCAATTTCCCTCATAAGCTTAACCAACGCCATAGATGGCAAATTGGTTTGTGAACAAGAGAGAGGCAGAGACTAAGAAACAACAGAAATAGCTCTGACCAGCTCTGAGCCTCAGGGGATGGGATGGGCAGGAGAAAGGCTCTTCTAGGTACTAGATACTCTGGAGTGGCCAGGGTTACATGGGAATTCTTTGGGCTCCTGGTCAACTCTAGTCCTCAAAATGGGAATCCGCAGAGCCCTCAGAACCAAATCTCAGTCAGTCTGGGGCTGCTGGGTGACCAGGCTCTCATCAGGGCCTGAATCCCTTTTAGTGACCCTGGGATCTCTAAGGGCCCTCTTCAGCATGACTGTGAGTAGATATGATTGTCCACCCCCACATAACACCTCAGGCACCTAGTGACCCCAAATACAAGCCAGACAGGAACACAACCATATGCATGTACACCCCAGTGCACACATGTGTGGTCAACCAATCAGAGGAATGCATCAGCAGCCACACCTATTGTGTACATGTTCAGACACATGGGGCACGTGCATAGACAAAGAGCTCTGGGCAGGACACAGGTACATCCACATGGCATACACACGTTAGCCATGCAACATGTATGCACATGCAAGACCCTGTCAGGCCTGTTGGCTCAGGACAACCAGACTGAATTTTAAAATATGGCCTTTGCATGGTTTCCAGGCTAGCCAGAAGGCCAAAGGACACTTGTGCTTCTCTGCTCCTGTACAGGTTCAAAGGTATCCAGGAAGGAGGTGCCTTACTTGAGAACAGAGCCATCTCCTGCTTCATGCCACCATCCAGGTACCAAGTGTTCAGAACCCAAGGGTCTCTTAGCTCCCAGGGTCTCAGAAACCCCAGATTATCCCTCATTTAAATAGGGGAGATGGGGGCAGAGCCTGTCTTCTGGTTCATAAAATGAGGTGTTGCTCATTTAGCTCATTAGCTGTGGGTTTGTGAGAGGTCAGAGGAGGAAGGGGCTCTGCAGTGAGCACCACTCACCACTTGAAGGGATCATTTACAATCTCATTCTTATGGTGACATTGCTTCTTGTTCACCATGCACCCAGGGTAAGATGTCCCTCTTGCCTCAGTGTTCCCATCTTGACAATGGGTTAACAGGGTTTTCTATTTCCTCAAAATAGCGTGGGGGTTGATCAGGAGGATCCACCCAGTGCATGTAGACAGTGAGGGGCTCCTTGGTACCCCCAGAGCTCAGAGGACAGATCCAGGTTGGGGATTGGTACGCAAGGGTGGTGAGGAGGGGACCCAGACTCACCCGATGACATAGACCAGAACCACCAGCTGGATCAGCCGGAAGATGACGCCCACCTTCTTGTTGCGCACCAGCACCATGCGGGGAGTGTCATACTCGAAGAAGAAGGCCGACAGCTCATCCTGCAGCCGTCGTGCCATGGTGGGTCAGGAGGGGCTTGAAACTGAGCCCCCACAGGGCCTTTGCAGTCAGCGGCAGCACAGCATCTGTACCCACAGCTATAGCAGTGGGGAGATTGGGGTTTTCTCAGCCTTTTAAGGAGAGGAGGACAGAGCAGGTGAGATCAGAGGTCAGGAGGCAGGGGTCAGTTGGAGGGGCTTGGGTTGAAGGAGAGAAGCCCTGGGTGCTCAGAGCAGCTCTTGGCTTCTGGCAGGCAATGGAGTGAGGGCCAGTGGTGCCCGTGAAATAAATTCCCAAAGATAGACAGAGGCGGAGCCAGTGGGGCCACAGAGGCCCAGCTCTGCTGCCCCTTTAGGCTCCGCCTGGGCCCTGCTGAGCCTCCGGAAACAGGAGCTGTTGGCCGGAAACCACTGGCCACCCATCACAGAGGCAGAGATAAAGCTACCAACTTACCCCTACCCCCATGAATATGACAAGCCAGAGTTGGGGGAGGGTCTGGCCAGGTCTTGGAGAGAACCCCACCTCCATCACCACCTCACCTCACTAGTCCTGCAGGGACTAGTCTCAGAATGGGCAGCTCAGTCCCTGAGGACCTGCACTGAGACTGGACGAAGTAGGCTTCAGTTCCTGTCTCCTGGAACTGCCCTTAAGACACCCCCTTCTGTCCAGCCATCCCTCCAAGTCCAAGCCTGTGCCGCACACATCAACTTCAGCATTAGGCTGGTGTCTCTATCCAGATGTCCAGATATAGCCAGGACTACACAGCTCCATACATCCTCAGGGTGGCCCAAAGACCCAGCTGGGAAAACCTGACATTGGTCAGTTTTGCCACTTGTTGGGCTTGAGACATTGCTTGTCCTCTCTAAGCCTGCTTCCAGTAAAGTGGGAAAATAATGGCATTTTTCCTTATAGGGTGAGGCCCCTGGCTAATGGGTCTTGACAACCCCAGGGACAGAAGACTCGGAGCCACTGTTATGTTTGGGGATGAGCTCCTGTGCAATCCCTGCCCTCCTCAGTGGCAACGCAGACCCTGAACATGGGGTCCCGAGTGTTAAATCTGAGATCAGCTCACTATACCCTCTTGTTGCAGACAAGGTTCAGAGGGGAGAAAGCTTACCTTGAGCTTGAAGCACGAAAAGAACCTCCCAGGCAACCCCCACCACTCTGCACCCCAGGCCAAGTTGCCCTACCCTGAGGACTGATAAGGGATCATCTTCCTCAAAAGCTGGTAGCTAGTGGGGAAATGGCCCTGGACAGAGCACTAGACCTTGTGCTAGCAGAACTGCTTTCTAGATAGCAGCCCCCACCCTCTGCGGCACACACACCAGGGTCACTGACAATCGAGTAGGGTCTCTCTTAAGTGTCTGACGCCACTGTCCAGAGGGGTGGTGAGAACCACTTCCTTTGCTTTTCTAAGGAAAACTTCAGAGATTCTGGAAGTCTGAGCTACAGTGGGCTCCTTGGCCTGGTCTTGACCCCAAACAAAAAGGTCTGTCCCTCTCTCAGCTGATTTCATGGCCAGCTGTCAGGACAGAAGATGGAGTGCTTGTGATGGGAATGAGTAGGTGCTGAGACTGAGCCATCCCTGCGTCCTCCTCCCTGACACCCACACAATAACTCTGGAGAGGGGCAGAGACCAAATGGAGGAGGAGGAAAAGGAAGGTGAGGGAAAAGAAAGAAGCAAGGAAGGAAATCACTGTCCGGCCTCTCATACCGAGCCACCTTCTCCCCATCCTCCTCTTCCTGTCCTCCCTTTTACCTCCCCACCCCTGCCAAGGAGCCAGGTTCATAGCAAGCTGGACAGACAGACCTACTGGGTGCCACACATGTTTCTGCTACAGCCTGGGGACCAGACCCAGCATTTAGGAAACAGATGTCGGGGAGAACCATCGCATTTGAAGATACTAGAAGACCCAAGGTGGGAACAAAGACCTCAACTTCTTGCTAGTAACCTTGCAAAAGTAAACCACCTGAGGAGAGAGAGAGATGGCTCAGCTGGTAAAATGCCTGCCATGCAAGCATGAGGACCCAAGGTTGGATCCCCAGCACTCAAAAAATAAGGTAGAGAATGATAGATGTTGCCCTATGGCCTCCACATGCACAAGTACCTGCACACTGATGTGCACATACCTACATGAATATGTGTATAAACATACACACACACACACACACACACACACACACACACACACACACAAAGCCAGTCAGGGGATAGGGTAAATGTTTCTTCCACTGGTTCACTGGCTTCAACTCCAGCATCCTTGGGGACAGACATCTTGTGGGCTCTAGGCTTTGCAGAGGGCAGGAGGGCAGGACAGAGGTCAGAGTTCTACATAATAGAGTTCAGCAGGTGTTTCTTTACCTGTGAGGTAGGTACCAGAATCCCCATTATACAGATACAGAAACCAAGGCTCTAGAAGTTGAGCACCTGGCCAAAGGTCATGGAACAAGTAGTTCCCAAGCCTGCTGGTGGCTGGAAGAGAGGCTCCCCCAAGTCTAAGGGCTTGGCCCAGGTCCCACCCAAAGACTCCAGCACTTGAGATCTGCCAGGCCTGCCTTATAAGCCCAAAGGCTGGATAGCTGACTCTGGGACTGGGCCGGGCCTTGTAGGGAGACATGGCCCTGCTGCCAAGGACTCGGCCCCAGGACAGCCTCCCCTGCCTGGCTAAATTTAGCAGCTGTGTGGGTGTGGAGGGGGTCAGCGCCCATCCTAGAGTCATTGCCCAGGCCCAGAGGGCACTCAAGCCCTCAACAGGGTAGGTGGGCATCGCTTCACCTTGTCTTCTTAGCCATTCTGGGTCCCCTCAGTTCAACTGCCATACCTAGTGGACCTGGCCTGGTGTCCTAAGGGACTCACTCCAGTGCCCAACAGATGCTCAAACACTATTGGAACAGAGCCCTGGGCCAGCTGGACAGACTGTCAAGGGAAGGTCTAAGGGGAAAGCTGGATACCAGCCATGGCCCTAGGGCTAGCTTCTCCTCATTGTCTGAACTTTCTAGACCTCTTCCCTCCTCTTACTGTGAACCATGACCAGGCTGGCGCCTATTCTCCAGTGCCCAAGGCAACACGTGTTGCTGGTCCACCTCTATCTTTTCTGGATCTTTCCCCTCAGACCCCTTCTGTCTTGGAATGAGGGGCTTCTGGCTGGCATAGGCCCCTCTCCCTAAGTGCTCTGAAGGCCTGTTTTTTTCCCAGCTCCTCAGGTTATAGCCCTTTTGCACCCATGGGGAGCACATGTCAACTTGCCTTCTCTACAGATCCTTCCTATTTTTTCTTCCTTCCTCCCTTCCTTCCTTTTTCCCTCCCTCCCTCCCTCCCTCCCTCCCTCCCTTTTTTCATCCTTCCTGCCCTTCCTTTTTATTTAAGGTCACATATATCCCACGCTGACCTCTACTTTGATATGTAGAGGAGGATGACCTTGAGCTTTTTTGATCTTCCCATCTCCACTTCCCAAGTGCCAGAACAGGTGTGGACCACTATGTCCAGCTTATACAGAACTGGGAATCAAACCCAGGGGTTTGTGCATACCAGGCAAGCACTCTACCAGCTGAGCTACATCCCAAGCTCCTTTTTTTTTTTTCTTTCAAATTAAACTCAGCTGAAGTGGGATTCACATTTTAAAAATAACATTTAAACAGCTTGATGAGTTCTGATAAATGCATACAACTACTCCCCAATCCATCATTCAGGAAGGTTTCTTCCTGCCCCTTTGTAATCACTCTTTCCTGAACACCTAGGCCCAGCAATCATGGATCTGTTGTCACCTAGATTTGTCCTGCCTTTTTTTGGGGGGGGTCTTTTTGAGACAGGGTCTCCCTGTAGCCCCAGCTGTCCTGGAACTCACTATATAGACCAGGCTGGCCTTGAACTCACAGAGATCCACCTGCTTCTGCCTCCCGAGTGCTGGGATTAAAGGCGTGCGTCACCATGCCGGGCGGTTCTGCCTTTTGTGGAACTTTATAGACGTGCAACCACAGGGAATGACCTTTCACTCAACAGTGATGATTGATTTATTGACTGACTGGATGATTTTTTAAAATTATTTTTGTTTTATGTGTATGAGTGTATTGCCTGCATGTATGTAAGTGCACCCTTGTGCAATGCCCAAGCCGGTCAGAAGAGGTCGTTGGATGCCCTGGAACTGGAGTTACAGATGGTTGTTAGCTGCCATGTGGGTTCTGAGAATCAAACCCAGGTCCTTTTCAAGAGTAGTCAGTGCTCTTAACTGCTGAACCATCTCTCCAGCTCCTGATTGATTTTTTTTGAGACATGGTCTCATTTTGTAGCTCAGGCTGGCTCAAAGCTTGTGGCAATTTTCCTGCTTAAGCCCCTCTAGTGCTGGGATTTTAGACACGTACCATCACAGCCAGCTTACTGCAGATTCAAAACTACTTATGTGGTTGTACACATTGGTCATTTGTGCCTCCTTGTTGCTGAGGATTTTCTGTTGTGCAGACATATTGTGGGTGACCTATTTGTCTGTGGATGGACTTTGCAGCCTTGTAATGGGCAGAGCACTTGGCCTTTTATGCCCAAGTCTCTAGACACTCATCTTCCTTTCTCCTCCGTCTCTCATTTTGCTCATAACAGCCACAACCTGCTCCTTCCAGGTGCACAGGGGGCCCAGGGAGCACAAAGTCCTGACTTACAGGGAAGCAGGGGGACCCAGGGGCATTTTGGCAGCTGCCATCTTGGATTCCAAAAGGAGTATGCCAAGATTGCCTGAGAATTCCCTCCTGGGTGAGGTGAAGAAACTGGTCTGTTTTCCTTGGCCGCCCTGCCTTGGCCTGTGGACTCCATGCTGTGTGCTGGACAGAAATGGATTTAGGCAGGCCTGAGTGGGGGTGGAGGCCAAGTGGACCAGGCTACCAAGCCCCAGAGGCTGCTAGGAAGATTAGAACCACACATTTCTGCCACAAGTCCCCTCAGGTCATCCCAGCTCCATACCCCATCATCACAATGCAAGCCAGAGAGACAGGGTCTTGGGTTCCTCATCTGTCAGATGAAGCGCCAGTCCCGCCCAGTCCATGGGTTAAGACCTTGAGAGAACCGTGAGGTTTTATATCGGAGAGGCCTTACAGATGGCCACGTGGCCAAGAATACTTCTGCTGACTTTACTTCCTGAAAACCCTTTGAGGTCCTCAGGTGTGGCCTGTCTTCTATCTGCTAGCTTCATGGCTGTGACTTGGGTAGCACATACAAATCAGGTCCATGCTCACAAAGGCCCTGCACCTGGCTCAAAACACTTTTGTCCCTAGAATTCTAGTTTTCCTCCTCGCCCAGTCCTCAGGCTTCTGTCCACATTCTCAACCCAGTAACATGTTGGGGTTTTGGTTTGGTTTTTGCTGTGCTGGGGTTCATCTCAGCTCAGGAGCTGTTAGTTTGGGGGCTCCAGGTTTCTAGTTTGCAATAGGCTGTGGGGATACAGTTAATCCCGCCTCTGGCCCTATAGAAGAGCCCATTTTCCTTCCCAGGACAGGTGAGTAGAGGATTAGATGCCAAACTCTCCATGGTGAGTCTTCCTGCTCCATAGGAGAGAAACAGGGACATGGCTAGTGCCTTCGTAGTGCCAGCTCCTCACCTGGGCAGGTGGAGTCATCTCAAGCACCCTTGCAGAGATGCCCCTGGGTGGTGTGAGGGACATTGTGGGGAAGGAGAGAAAACCACATAGGCTTAGGACTGGAGATGGGATGGAATGCTGGGGGTTGGGGGATAAAAATCAAAGCAAGATAGAAACCTCAGGGAAAGTCATAGAACTACAGAATTACCAGGGTCTCGGAGGTGCAAGAGGTTCCTAAGATGGCGGCTCTATGTCCAGTATTGCCTCACCCCACCCCCAGCTTCTTTTCCTTAGTGGAGACATACAAGTCATAAAACGTGCTTATACTGTTGAGTGCTGTGCTTAAACTTCCAACCAGGAGAGTAGCACACAGGCTGCTTGAGGGTTAGTCTCCTCCCACTTCTGCTATTGGGGTGTGGTTCCAAGTCAAAGCCCCATTTGGGAGGAAGAGACAGACCCTGGTGATGTGGGGATCCCAGACTTTCATTTTGCTGGGTTTGGGCAGGCAGACCGCAGGCAGACACCTGCCACAGAGATGGGGGCCCACAGTCCAAGCAAAACACTGGAAGCTCCAGTCCCCCAGCACACACCTTTATTTCTCTACCAGAAAACACGTCAGCAGGTGGGTACAGGGCCCTGTCCCTGCCAGTCCCCTTCCAGCTGTTTCTCTCTAGGGCCCCTCCAGAACCTTCAAGAGGGTAGGGAGGATACACGGGAGAATGAACTACCAAATGTGGAACTCATAGGTCTGAGAGGCAGGCTGAGGGGGCTTCTGATTCTGGGGGTCACAACAGGGATGTGAGTCTTGATTTTCATATAAAATATAATCACATTGCACACACTCAAGGAGGGACAAAGTCATAAGACAGGCACTTACTCCATGTGATGCTACACCTAGCAAGTTTTCACAACAGCAATTAAGAGGAAAAACAAAAACAAAAACCCCGTCCATCAAATGTTGCTTTTCTACCTTCTGACAGATCCCCCACTAGATGCTTTCTTCCTGCAAGGAGGGAGGGAGAGGAAGTGCCTTTGGGGAGCAGCCACACTAGTGACATCTTTTTGGCTCAAAGACGTATGTGGGGGGAGGACCAAGAGTGATGCCAGGAGTCCAGGAGACTCAGAATCACCCAGCTTTGCAGCGAGCGACATGACCTCACACCAGGTTGAGTGGAAGGACAAAGTGGGCAGGGACCAAAGGATGTCAGGTTTCAGGCAGCTGAGACCCGGACAGTGAAGCTGGCCTCTGCTTGGCAGACCAGGATACCCTGAGTCAACCTGAGCTGAGAAGTGAGCCAATGGCTGGGAATAGGGCCAAGCTCAGACAGGCAGCCCAGGCTATCTCCTGGGAAAGGGGTTCCCGGTCCAGCTTCTCCTCCTGCTCTTTGTGTTCCTATCTGTGACCCCTTAACCCCCTGGGGCCTATATAAACAGACACAGGCTCTGGTTCTTAGGAGTGGACTTGATGGAGGCAGAGCCAAGTGGAAGGGGCTGTCCCCCCTGCTTCATGTTCACAGCTGGGCCCAGATGGTCTCCTCTGACTCCTCCCCACAGTCAACCAGGCTCCAGACTCAAACCAAGCAAGAGGTCAGAGCCAGTGAGACGGTCCCCATGAGTCCTCTATTGGGGCAGAGGTACCAGTTACCAAGCAAACCAAAAGAGCAAAGGCCCAGCCTCCAAGCAGGGGAGCAGTACCAGAGCTGTGGGGGATGTGTGGTGGCCCTACAGCTAGCTCTGGTTGCTTAGCAGCCCCTCCTAGGCTCAGCTCCTGGGACAGAGCTACAGAGAGGAATATAAATGGGGTAGGGACTGGGACTGGGACTGGGCCTGGAGGTGGCCATTCTTGCTTCTGGCCAGTTGCGTCCAGCAGGGCTTGGTGGGCAGGTGGCTGAGCGTGGTGGGCAGGGTGGGAGTGGGGACAAATGCTTGGACACTGTCAGTCCAAGGGCCACACCAGAGGCTCCTCTCTGCTCATAGCATTTACTTCAGGTTCTTTTTTTCTGGAGAAAAAAAATTAGAAAGCATATTAAAATAGAAAGTGAGACATTTAGACTTCCTTTGAGTCCCTCTCATCCTCCATTTCTCTGGCGTCAACCCCACTTTTCATGGCAACCTCCAGGTCCAGCCTCACAGTCACTTCTGAACCAGAGTCAGTCCCAGAAATCCAGTTGCCCCAGGCCTCCTGCACTCTATATGACCCCTCAATACCCCCACAGAAAACTTTCCTATTTCTGAGTTTAGGGAATGTCCCATCACCATGCTCCAGCCCATATGCAGTATGATTTCAACTGAACCGCTTGAGCTGATCTTTACCTCTGCTACCCACACCAGGACTTCAGGCCCTGCCTCAGCTCATCTTGCCTCTCTACCTCCCTTCTGCTCCTGGCATCACACAAATGCCCCAGTCTGGCCACATCATCCATTTCTGTGGCTCCATTGTCCGTAGATGAAGTCCAGGTTCGCCTTGTACCTTAGACTTGCTCAGATCTGCCTCCTCTCAGCTTTCCCATCCCAGTCTCCAGGTCTCCCGACAGCTGCTCAGCCACACCTGAACAGTGCCAAGAGTTGGGCGAGAGGACCCCCAGTCCCAGTGCTGACCCTGCATCCACAGTTCTCCCCAGGACACAACTTCGTAAATCATAGGGAAACCACAAGCGCCAGGCCTCAGCAAAACTTCCCTAAAAGGCCACTTGGATGGCTTGGGAACGTAAAGGGTCCCCTCTCTCACTCCCGCCCTGTCCAGCTTTAGAAGGCCCAAGGGATTGCGGCCGTCCCAAGGCAGAGCTGTCTGAGCTTCTAGCAAGCACAGTACTCTCTAGGGGAAGTCACAGGTACCCACCCATACCAGGTTCCTCCTTCAAGACCTGTGGTCACTGGCTTTTGAGCAAAACTTCTCAAGGACCATGCTGGTTACCATCTTGGGTTAAGGGTGTTGGTAAAGGTACCCAGGGCCAGTTCACCCTGGACCAGGACTTGGTTTCTTCCTCAGGCCAGCTAAACACTGCTCACAATTCCCTCTGCTTTTGGTCTCTCTCTAATAGCTTTCTGGTTGCCACAGGCCCTCCCATGCTTACATACCTATTGTAGTCCCCACTGCCCTGAGGGCAACATTCAGGGCCTTCAATGCCCTCTGGGCCTCACCACTTACACTCTAGGCTCCAGCACCATTATAGACACCTCAGCCTCTGCCCTTCCAGGTTCTGCCTTGTCCTTGCAAACCTCCACTTTAATCCTGAATCTTCTAGAACCCACTCTTAGCTCTCGCTGCCTCCTCCATCAAGGCCCTCTCCCTCTTCCCGTCAGGCCTAGTGTGGAACGGCATCCCAGACATGGGGTTTTCCCTAGGGAATGAGAACATTTTAGCCATGGACTGAATTTTTTCACTTTTAAATTTCCTGAAGAAAACTTAAACTCTTTGGCTGCTGTGGCTACAAGGAATAAAGGACATCTCTCAAGGAGGACAGACATTCCAGATGCCTATGTCTTAGAGGCCTGGCTTTATAGGTAAAATGATGTGATAAATGATGGCCAGGAGGGGGTGGAAGGGGTTTCCTGATGACCTTACTGAGCTTGAGCCAGAGCTGGGATTCTGTGAAGTGTCAGCCTCATTTCTTCCAGGCCTTTCCCAGGGGGCTGAGCCAGAAAGAACCATGTGTGGTGGGGGAAGAATGGCATAGCCCCAGCCCCAACCATGGGCTCCAACAGACTCCACTAAGCCCACTTCCACCTCAGTTGAGGCCACACCTGAGTCTAGTCATTCCGTGTACAGGCCTGTGGGAGACTAAGCTCCAGAGAGAGGGAATGGCTCATTTAGGCCCTTTTTAAAAGACAATTTCTTTCAGTGCTGAGTATATTTGGTCAGCGTGGGATTTGGGGGCCTCTATGGAATGGCAGGCATGGGATTTATTTATAGACTCCCCTCTTTCCTGGGTCAGGGATACATTTCAGTCAGAAGTGGTCCCCAGTGTCCCAGCTGCCCAAAGTAGGCCTTAGCCAGTTGCTGGGCCCAACCTAGGTTTGTCCACAGTAGTCCAACCTTCTGCTCTGCACCTGACCCATCACTGTCGGCCACTTCTGGATTAAGGTAGACCTTCCCTTTGTACACACCCACAAAGTGACACCCAAGAGGCCAACCCGGTATGGTGTGGGTCCTGGAGGTAGTCAGGCCTGAGACACTGTCCTGAGAACAGCTGGATAAAGACAAGCCAGTGCAGGAAAGTCAGAGGCCAAGGCCAGGGCCATGCACAGCTTCCAGTCTGTGTGTAGTGTGGAGAGGGACAGCCACTGAGGAGAACAAGGTGGCTTGGCTCTGAGCAGAGTTCCCAATGGGCCCAGCAAGGATTCCTACAGTATGAGACACCTCTGGCCCCTAACACCTTGGGTCATAGCCACCAGGACTCTTCATGTCCTATACTTCATGATCCAAGAACAGTTTTCCCTTATGTCAACTGCAGCAGGGAGCAGTTGCAGGCAGGAGGCAGCTGGTGAGCAGGCAGGAGGAGCTGGGTCTCTCTCACTTACCATCCACGTGATGCCGGGACAGGTACTTGAGGGCTTCATCAAGCAGGATGACAGGCAGAGACATCTGGAGCACCACCCCCCACTGCCGACCACTCAGTGGGGTCACCTGGAAGATGAGCTGGTGGGGGAGGGAGGGAGGCCTGGTTAGAGGCAAGACTGCCCAGGCTGCCAGCTGTCTTCCTGCTTCACCCTCCTGGACTCCAATGGGCCCTTCATGGGCATGACTCTAGAGGCCCTTCTTCCACATCTTTGCCTGCTTGGTTTCCCCAGAGAAAGTACTGTCCCCTGCTCTGCCCCATCCCATTCCCTCTGTTTGGAAGTAGAAGGATTCTGCTCTGGGAAAGGCCTGGTCTTCTGCCCAGGCCTGAGAGAGTTCCATCAGCAAGGGGGTTCCACTTTTTCTGTTCCCTGAAGCTGGGTATCCATCTGGAAGATGATGGCTGGCCATATCTCTCCGTGCCCTGTCTTCAAGGTAGCAGAGGGGTCTAGGAAGACCCAAGGAGTGTCCAAGGACAGTTTGGTGTCTGTCATCCCAGGAACTGAGGAGGGAGGAGGCATGTGGGGCAACTCACAGGCAGGGGCGGCACAAGCAGGATGAGGAAGTGCAGTGCCATGGACATGGCCACAGCCCCCAGCAGCCAGGGGTTCAGCCAGGGTGGCATGCGCAGCAGTGACTGGTTCTCCGAGACACTGCCAAGAGTAGGAGCCTGCTCAGATGCCAGAGGCCGTGGTGAACCCACCTACCTCGGCACCTCTGTACCTGGGCTGCAGAGCCAGGGCAGGTAATCCTGCTGCATGCCCAGCCCCAAACCAGCCTATCTCAGGGTTTGGACCCACTTTCCTCTGTCTTTCAAATTCAGACCTGGACCCCCTCATTTACTTACACACCAGATCTTTCTCCCAATTCTGACCCCACTGACTCTCAGAACCCATTACGGGCCCCTCTGACCCTCAGACCTCAACCCTGGACCCATTTGGATCCCAATCCTGTTTCCTTTTGATCTTGGACCCCAATCTTAGTCCTAGACTCCTCTGACTCTTTGACCCCAGTACTGGACCCCTCCACCCAGCCCACCTGTTGAGGGCGTTGCACATTTCAATGGTCACCAGCACAGACAAGGCCATGGTTGTGGGGAAGCGGGACTCAAAGACCTCACAGTCGATGCCGGCAAAGAGCGGGTTGTCTTCAGAGCACTTCAGGAAGTTTCTCTGAGGGTAAGGTGGTGGGGTCCAGAAGAACAGCTGTTACTGCAGTGCTGGCCAGGGGAGTGGGAAGCCTCTCCCTGTCCTCAGTCATACCTGAGGAAGACTAGTGGGCACAGCACTGCAAAGGGCGGGCCAGGGAACACAGAAGAGTTGCTTGCCCAGGAAGGGGCCAGAGGGGCTGCTCTGCCAGAGCAAGAAGGGCCAGTTTTGGGGCAAGGGTTTGTGGATCAGGAGAGCAGCTAGCTTTAGGCTGGGGAAGACACCAGGGGGCTATGGGGTCAGAGGAGCGTCCAGGCTTTACTGGGATTCCCCATCTCTGGGATGTAGGAGTGGGGGAGTTGACTGACTGAATCCAGTGAATATAGAAATGCATGTCAAAATCAATCAACACAATTATGCTTCAGTAGGGTTGACCTCTGCAGTCTAGAAAACAAAAGCTCCACATGCTTTCTTCAATATCACTAAGAAAGTTTTCCTTGCCACTGAGATAGAGCTCCACCAGCCCTGCTTTCTGTTTATGACATAGATAATGAATTGCTAGGGCTCAGCCTTAACACACACTTCCTCTGTAATTAACAAGCTGTCAGTGTCATAAAGGAAGTTGCCTGGCCCCTGAAGTTACAGGGAGTTGTGTCTTTCTGCTCACAGGCCTTGCTCAGAGTCCTCCTCTGTAATAAAATGCCAAACTGGGGATGTCTGGGAAAACTTCTGAACTTTTTCTCTCCAGCACCACTGGGATGAGTGGGACCACATCTGCTCACAACTCCTAATCAGCTAAGGTCTCCAGTACATAATTCCAGTCTCAGGAGTCTCATGTGAACCTTAAGATCTTTAAGGTCAGGGCTTAGAAGCAGGTACAGTACTGCAAAAATAACCCTGAGAGACCCGCCCAGGGATGGACTGTCCGAACCCAGCAGTAAACGCAGTAGTGTTTTCCCGCACTGCTCAAGCGTGGTGCACATGGCGGCTCTGTGTATGAGCTGTTGCTCTCATGCAGAAAAAAAAAACTACAGACAATTATGGGTTGGCTAGATTTCATAGTTTAACAAAGACATTAAGAATGCCAGGTGTAGTGAGCACCCTCCTGTAATCAGTAAACCCCACTACTACAGAGGTAGAGGTAGGAAGATGGATGCAAGTTCAAGGCCAGCTTACCTACATAGTTTGAGGGCAGCCAGGACTACATAGTGAGACCTTGTTTCAAAATGGAGGGAAAAAAAAAAAGACCCAGAGTTTACTGATTTTACATCTTCTGTGGAAATTTTCTCTAAAACTCACATTCAATATTTGAGGCAAGTACGCTTTTTACCCCCAACTGTTGTACCTGGGATGGAACCCGAGGCCTCACTCCTTATCCCAAAGGTGTACTCCTGCTGAGCCACACCCTTGGCTCTGCACTTGTTTGCACTGGTGCTGATCATACAGTAGACTAAAAAGTCGACATTGGAACCTAGCTCACCACATCTTTCTGATATCGGAGCCATGGGGCCCACCTCATAGATCCTAATGGATGCACCTTCTGCTCCGTCATCTGTACACTGACATCTCTATTCTTATTCCCAGGGCAAAAATACCAACAGAGTGACATCAAGGGCTCTCAATAGGACATGGTTCCTGCCATACACAGCCAGTTCTGATCTTCTGGATGTCAACTGGAGAGCCTGTGCTATACACACATTACATCCCAGGTCACACCCACAGTGCAACCTCCATGTCAGTTTACTTCAATGCTCCCAGGGTCAGAACACCTGTCTCCTATGCACATCTAAGAACTCCTGTGGGAGTCCATTCCCACTGATGAAGCCCTGTTTTGCTTCTGCCTTCCCCCAGTCTGCTTGGCTATTTCCTATTCACTGTGTCCTGCAGGACCCTTTTGGATTTTTCTGTTGCTGTGGCTTTGAGAAAAAGTCTCAATAAAGCCCAAGCTAATTTTAAACTCGATTTTTCTGCCTTACTCTTCCAAGAATTATAGGGGTAGATCATCACAGATGTGGCCCTTTTGGGATCGATCTATCTGTCTGTCTGTCTGTCTGTCTGTCTATCTATCTATCTATCTATCTATCTATCTATCTATCAATCAATCAATTTTTTTGCCTTTTTGAGACAAGGGTCTCCCTGTAGCCCCAGCTGACCTGGAACTCGCTATGTAGGCCAGGATGGCCTTGCACTCTCAGAGATCTGCCTGCCTCTGCCTCCTGAGTGCTGGGATTAAAGGTGTGCGAGTTTTACTAATTGAACAGGTGGTATTCTAAGAATTTTATAAGTATTAACTCAGTTAAATCCTCTTGATAGTCCTATGAGATAGGGCTATTTTGTCCATTTTACAGATGAGGAAACCAAGGCACATGGAGGGTAAACAGCCAAAGTCACACAGCTAGGATGTACTCAACTAGAGCCCAGAGGTTTTTATTTTATTTTTTGAGACATGGTCTCATGTAGCGTAGGCTAGCCTTGAACACTTCATGAAGCCAACGATGACCTTGAATTTCTGCCTCAACCTCCCAAGTGATGGGATTACGGGTGTGTGCTACCACACTTGGCTTATGTGGTATTGGGGATCAAACCCAGAGCTTTATGCATGCTAGGCAAACAATCTGCCAACTGAGCTACATTCTTAGCTCAAGTCCAGCTTCTGAAACTGTTGTGACCTCTTTGGGGGTCATGTAACTGAATGTGGGTGTTGTAGAAACACCTGGGACTGTCTAGGTCACATTGGCTTGGGGGCATGTTTGTGGGGGGACCATCTTGATTATGTGAATTGATGTGGGAAGACCCAGCCTAAATGTGGACCATTCCCTTGGTTTGGGTCCTGGATTGTATAAAAGAGGAGAAGGTAAGTACCTACATCTCGTTAGTATGAAAATTGCTTTCCTCCTTACTGGCAAAATTATATATGTATATATACATATGCATATATATATATATATCTCAACTGTTTTAAAATAGATTTCTTTATGATTTTTTTAGTAAGAGTTTGATTAGTGTGCCTATTTTATATACCACTATGCTCAGGGTCACATAGAAACTTCTTGTATGAGAAGGGACTGCAAGTGGAAAAAATTTAAAAAGTCAAACTGGAATGTCACCCTGGGGCTCTGGACTCCTCTCTTGAAATGCAACAACTTGGAGCTGAGAAGATGGTCAGTTGGTCAAGTGCCTGCCTCAAAAACATGAGACCCTGAGTTCAATCCCCAGAATTTATGTAAAAAGCAGGATATTTATGTAAAAAGGGATATGCATTTATAATCCCAACGCTGGGGCTGGAGGCAGAGACAGGTTGATCCCTGGAGCTCATTAAACCAGCTAGCTTAGATGAATCTATGAGCTCCAGATTCAACCAGAGACCTTGTCTGAAAAATTAAGGTTGAGTAATCAAAGAAGATGCTCAATGTGAACCTCTGGCCTCTGTATACATGTATCCATATGAACACATAAACATGTCTCACACACACACAACAAAGTGACAAGACATATATAGAAAAAAGAAGAAAGAAGAAAGAAATCCAGTAACTTCAGCTAAAAAATTCTACCTTAGTACTTTTTAATTAATTTATTTTTTGTCTTTTTGAGACAGGGTTTCCCTGATAGCTCCCACTAGCCTGGAACTCAATATGTAGACCAGAGTGGCCTTGATCTCACAGAGATCCACCTGCCTCTGCCTCCTGAGAGATGGGATTAAAGGCATGCACCTCCATGCCTGGCTCTGCCTTAGTTCTTGACCCACTTCCCACTAAAGTGCTTCCCACCCTGAATAGGACTTCCTATTTCCATGCCCCCCTCCCCGATTGCCAGCTCTTTGCAGAGGACCCCCCCCACCCCGTCTAACACTGCGATAGCCTCAGTAATTTGTGCCCAGGCCACAGTGAGTGCTTGATGGCTACTTCGACCCAAGGGCTGCTGAGAAGAGAGCATCAGGCTAACTGGGGAGTGACAGGTGGTGAAAGGGGGTATCTTATGTGACTCCCAGGTGTCACCTTGGGTGACCAGGCAGGCCATGGGTCTGAGATGAGATGGAGGAGAAAAATGAGTGTGGGGGAAAGGAGACAGTCTTAATATGGGCCTTTTGGCTTCCACGGGACCTGTGAAACATCACAGAGGGGGTGAGCAGCATTTTGGGAGCTGGAGCTCAGAAGAGAGGAAGGAGGTCCCTGGAAAGTTGTACCTGTTGATCTTTAAAGGATGAATGTAGACACAGGATTGGAAGGAGGCGGCATAGTCTCACCCAGTAGCCTGTAGCTCCCACAGGAGCCAGAGGCGCTTATGTGACCAAGGCTGACCTGATCCTTGGTCTAGGGCAGGAAGGGAGGGATGCTGGCTTTTGAAGGTCAGGCCATGCTCTATACTGTAGTGAGCCAAAAGGGATCATTCCCTGATCTTGAGGGCTGCTAGGTGCCAGGACATGGTTCTGTGGTTGCCTCCTCTCCAGTAATGCAGGTGGCAAGCTTCAGGGAAGAGCCCCACCTCTCTCAGCTCTCAACTGTACACCTGCACTATAACAGCTGTTTTAAGAAAAGGGGTAGGAGGCCAGAAAGCAGTTGAAGGGGTGCCTGGTTTGCATGCAGAACTGAACTAAGCTAAGGCTGAGCCACACTGTGCTATGTAGTGGTAAGCATCTGTCAGCCAGATGATTCAAGAGGTCAGTAGGACCCTTCCCTGAGAAATACTTGTGTGGATGATGCCACTCCCTCCCTACCCCTCTGACCTCAATTTGAGCCTCTCCTTGAAGTTCCCCAACTGCAGGGCTTAATGCTCTGAACTCTCCGTGTTTTAGTAGCTCTGTGGTAAAGGTAAGACATTTTTGGGCAGTTATGGCCTTGGGTCCTCCTAAGTGATTAGCAGACAGGATAATGTCTCCTCAAGCTGGGGGCCATGCCAGCATGGTGTGCTTCCTGGGCCAACGAAGCTGCCTCCTTGGACACTGGGTGTTCACACCCAGCGATGGGAAAGAATGGGTAAGGGCCAGTCATAGAAGCTGGGTTCCTCTCTTGGAACTCCCTCAACCACCTACCCAACCCACAGGCCCACCTTTCTGCTTAAATAGGCCCCCTGGCCACCAACTGCTCACCAACTGATAGAACGTGACTTGAGGTCCCTCGGCGTCATACAGGAACCACCAGGTGGCAGCGGCCACTGTAGCCAGGCCTACGTACACTGTGGGCAGGGGAGGAGTTGCTGCAGTAGACAGCTGTGGTTCTCCGGCATCCACACTCCTTTCCCAACCATTCCCTAAACTTGCAACAGGGACACACTCTCTCCCTCCCTAACCATGGTCTGTAGACATCTACCCTCATTGCCAATGGTGGGTTTGGAATGGCAATCTGATCTGCCACACTCTTGGGCACAGTGACCGGTTAGGTATTAAGCAGGGGATCCAGTTTGTACAAATGAAAACAAGCTTGAGACTTTTATCAAATGAAACAAAACAGGGGGGCTAGAGAGATGGACCAGTGGTTAAGAACACAGGCTATTCTCCCAAAAGACCCAGGTTTGAGCCCCAGCACCTACATGGCAGCTAACAACCATTCACAACTCCAGTTCCAGGGAATCCAATACCCTCTTCTGACCTCCACAGCCTTTGTACTACATAAGTGCACTTACACACATGCATTCAAAACACTCATACTCATAAACTTTTTTAAAATTAAAAACAAAGTGAATGAACAAATAACAACAAAAAATCTCCCCAGGCTGGAGATGGCTTAATGGAAAAGAGTATTTGTGCATAAGCATGAGAACCTGAGTTTGGATTCCCTGAACTCATATAAAAAGCCATGTGGCCATGTGTGCCTGTAACCCCGGTGCTAGGAGGCTGGAGGATAGAGACAAGAGCGGGGCTCTGCCAGCCTAGATGAAACATGGCAACTCCAGGTTCAGTGAGAGATCCTTTTTCAAGGGAATAAGACAGAGTGATAGAGCAGGACACCTGACATCCTCCTCTGGCCTCTGTAAACAGGAGGGGTATACATACACACACACACACACACACACACACACACACACACACACACACACACACCGCTCTTTTTGAACGTGGGTTGTAGAGGAATGAGCATGAGGCCTGAAGCTGTCTTCCAGCCTGAAGACGTCTGCCTGAGAATGGAGCTGAGTCAGAGGCGAGATGTGACAGTGACACTGTTCAAGGCCTAGATCCAACCATACCTGGAGTATGCCTAGTCTTCAGTTACATGAGCCCACAGAATCTGTTAGCAGAAGCTGGCTGCGTTGAACTGTCTGCATTCTGCACCTAACTTAGGAAGTCCCTGAGGGCTGGGTCCCAGCTTACCTCCAATAGCCAGATATCGAAAAAAGAGCCAGCCACTGATGAGAGCCTCCCGAGGGTTCCGGGGCAGCTTCTCCATGATGTCCAGGTCTGGTGGGTTGAAGCCCAGGGCTGTGGCAGGTAGACCATCTGTCACCAGGTTCACCCAGAGCAGCTGCACAGGGATCAGGGCTTCAGGCAGACCCAGAATTGCTGTGAGGAAGATGCTAGAACCAGAGTCATGGGCTCTAGCCCCAGCAGGCCAGCCACCATAGAAGGGTCCAGCTCCAGCCCATACCCCAGGCTAAGAGTGGGGCCCTTCACTACAGCTCTTCCTCAGTGCCAGTCCAAAAGCCAGGGTGTAAGTAGGGTTCTGCTTGAACCCACCCAGCTCTGCACACTGGGCATATCTGACCTTTAGACCTAATTGGGTATGAGCACACACACACACACACACACACACACACACACACACACACACACACTGCATGCCCAAGCATCAGACAGGTGCAAAGACCTAACATTGTTGCACAATCCCACAAACACAAGCAGTACAAAGGTGCAGAGTCCACACACACTTAGCACACATATGCTCACCATATCCTACAGGCATCTCCTCTATGCAGACAAAAGTGTGATCATAAGCATACTCTGGTATGTGTTGTTTGTGTTCATGCCCCAAAATGCACAAGTGCACACATGCATTCCAAAATGAGTGTACACAAACCTCTCATCTGGACACACTATAGATGCACATACAGATCAATACATGCATACACATGGGTACCCTACTGCCCAGAGGTGGAGCTGATTCTCCAGTTTTATGGGTCTCAAGGTGACAAGTGGATGAAAGTGGGAGGAAGGCCATGGCTGGAAGGGTGGCAGGGGATGCTTTAGGCACCTTCCTGGGAGCTGGGGAACTCCACATCCAGGGGTGGCCTTCAGCCCCTGTAGCCATCTCAGAGACGATTAGAAGGAGAGAGAGTGGAGCCTCACCAGACAACCTCACCAACATTGGAGGAGATGAGGTAGCGGATGAATTGCTTCATGTTGTTGTAGATGGCCCGGCCCTCCTCCACTGCAGCCACGATGGATGCAAAGTTGTCATCTGACAGTACCATCTCTGCTGCTGACTTTGCCACAGCTGTGCCTGAGCCCATGGCAATGCCAATCTCTGCCTTCTTCAGGGCGGGTGCATCGTTCACCCCATCGCCGGTCTGTGGGCCAGGCCAGGTAGGACATACCTGAGATATCTCCCCACTTCCCCTCAACCCAGGCTATCCCAGTGTAGGGGATGTCCCCAAGGAGGCAGACAACTGGACAGAAGAAATGATGGAGTCAAGAATGAACTTAAAGAGCAGGCCTGTAGTCCCAGCTACTCATAAAGAGGAGGCAGGAAGAGGATCACGAGCTAAAGGCCAGCCTGAGTAACTTACTGAAACCCTGTCTCAAATAAAAAGTGAAAAAAGGGCTGGGGATGTAGCTCAGTGATTAAGCGAGACTTGGGTTTTATCCCCAATACCACAAAAAAAAAAGGGAGGGAGGGAGGGAGGGAAAGAAAAAAAAATGAACTTAGAAATTGGTTTGAGGTTGAGATTAGGGGAAGACAAGAGGTGTAGGCCAGAGAGAAGTTGGAGAAAAGATCAAATCTAGGTCCAGAGATGATGAAGCAAGGAGAGGGATGAAGTGATCAACACTAAGGACAGGGATAAAATTCAGATTGCAGGTGGAGTAGATAAGCAAACTGAGGGAGAAAGTTAAGGTCAATTCAGGTTTAAAGTCAAGGTTGCAGCCCAAGTCAAAGGCCAGATATATACTAGAGTCAAGGTGAAGGACAGGATCAAGACTGGACTTAGGCTGAAGATAAACACAAGTTCAAGTAGAAGTCAAAGTCAAGGTTACTGTCTGTATGAACAGTGATATCACAGTCAGGTTTAGAGCTGCAAGGTCAGGATAGGTGATCAGATCAAAACTGAAGTCAACATATAAAGTATTGCTGTAGGGGGTCAGGGTCAATGTCAGAGATCAATTCTGGACCAGGTTTGAAACCCATAACAGGGTTAAGCTCATCATAAACAGAGTAGAATTGAGGTCAAGGGGGGCTGGGGTGAATCTCAATAGTAAGGCATGTGCTTAACAAATAAAATTGGAAGTCAAGGTCACAGGGTGAGTGTGGAGATCAAAGATGCGGTCAAGAACTAGGTTATGGTTGTAATCATGTTAAGCACCTCCCAGGCTCCAGTCTTGTGGCCTCACCATGGCAGTGATCTCATTAAAAGACTGCAGGTTCTCTACAATTCGAGACTTATGTGCAGGTTCCACACGGGCAAAGCAGCGGGCAGTGCGGCAGGCATGGCGCTGCTGCTCTGGGCTGAGGTCATCAAATTCACGCCCTGTGTAGGCCTTGCCCAGCACATCCTCTGTGTCCCCAAAGATGCCAAGCCGGCGGCAGATGGCTACAGCTGTGCCTTTGTTGTCCCCCGTGATCATGACAACTCGAATGCCCGCCCGGGAACAACGCATGATACAGGCAGCCACTTCGGGTCTGGGTGGGTCCAACATGCCCACACAGCCCACAAAGGTCAGGTCTGTCTGTGGGGAAAAGACAGAGGCAAGTATGGTCCCAATCCATCCTTGACCTATTACCTGCTCAGCTACTGCATGAACCTGGCTCCCAGCACCCATCTTGTACTGCACCCACCTCATACTGTACAAACTGGCTGCAGTCATCAAGCTTCATGTCTTCCTTCTTTGGGGGGGTGTCCCGGGTGGCCAGTGCTAAGCAGCGCAATGTGTCAGAGCCTGAGCCCCAATCCCGGATCTTGGCCAGAATATGCTCCCTGGAAGTGGTGTTCAGGGGTACTGTGCGGCTCCCCACACGGATTGAGTTGCAGCGCTCAATTACACTCTCAGGAGCTCCCTGTAGAGGGGAGAGGTGAAGAGTCAACTCCACCAATCAGGACCCCAGCCCTTCTTGCTGCTCAATAGAGGAAACTGCAAGTCAGGTATGGGGAGGGAGAACATATAGGAAGCAAAGACCAGAACTCATTCTTTGCAAGTTCAGAGCAGAAACCAGGTAGGCCCCACTGTGAGAAAACCTTAAAGGATGGGCAGATGAGGTCACAGTCACCCACTGGGTAGTCCGCTGCTCCACCAGCCCACAACTGAGAAGGCTTGTGCCAACACTTGGGGGTCTAGGCAGAACTGGCATCTCCCATAGGGCCCTGTGCCTCTGCTTGCCAGGGATTTCCATTCTGCAGGGGCCCCAGCAGCAGGGAGTTATGCTGAGCACTGCCAGAGGACTAGAAACAGTCAGGCATCATGGCAGGTGTGGCCCTGGGAAGCTTGCTTTTGGTGGGAGTGAGTGGTTCCTCAGTAACATCAGGGTCTCACTGCGGACTTCACCCAGGTGGAGGAACAGTGGACCTAGGCCCGCTAAGGACTTCTTCCTCCCCAAAAGGCCACCCAGGTGCTAACTTTTCTAAGTGGCCAGGGTTCCCAGGATGAAAGCCTTGTCATTTCATAGGCATTAAGACCTCCACTGAGGCTAGGATGGAGGCTAGGGTGGGAACTCTCCTTTTCTCTTCCTATGACTCAGTTTCTGAAAAATGGGCACCAGGGGCTAAAAGGGTTTCTGAGAACTTCCACCCCAACCTTCTCATTCCCATGGGGAGCTGGAAGCCCCTGAAAGGGCATGAATGACCCTAAAGTCCTGTAGCAAGGCAGAAATCCCCATCCCAGAGCTCAGGTCATGGGTCCTTGGCTGCTGAATGTTGCTCCCAGTTCCCCACCGCATGTTACCACACCTACTCCAGAGCCACCACTTTGACAACGAGCCTCACAGCTCCCTGGGCCTCCTACAGATGTGGTCTCTGGTGCTTTCTGGTTTTTGAGACAGGGATTCATGTAGCTCAGACCATGAACTCAAACTCACTCACACAGCCCATCTTCCTGCTACTTCTCCAAGTGCTGATACAGGCACATGCCATCACACCTGATTTCCATGGTACTGGGGGCTGAACTCATGGCCTCTTGCATACTAGGCAAGCATTCTATCAATTGAACTACACCTTCCCCCCAGCCCTCTGGGGTTTTAGAGGCTTGAGACCAGGTCTCCCAAAAGACCCCAGGCCACATAGGCAAGTCCCTACCTTCACAAACATCTTGCTGCTCTGAGCCTTGGGGTCAGGGCGGGTAGGTGTGCAGTACACAGACATGGACTTCCGGTCCCGGGAGAACTCGAGGGTGAACTCCTTCCGCATGAGTTGCTTGATGACCTGCAGGGTCCAGGCAGGTTCAGGACATGCTGGACTGAGCCAGCAACTCTTACCTGCTTCTCACTAGTCTCTCAAGAAAAGCCTCTTGCTTCCTGTAGCTCATTATCTATGCTCCTTTCCTGTCTAAAAATGCATGCCCTTCCCAACCGCAATCCTTTGCCCAATCCAGCTTTTCCTTCCCAACTGCAATCCAGCCTTTTTCTCTCTGTTCCACAGCCCACTCTTGCCAGGTGTCTGCAGACCTTCCTTCTTTACAAAGCCTTCCAAGCCTGTGCTTTTCTCTCACATCTCCAGATACCCCAGTCATGTAGCCAATGCCAAGCCCCACCCCGCTCACCGAGTTGCAGGCGCCAGCACGTTCCACCTGGGACAGGGTTTTCAGGTCCGTGTCAAACACATTCATCTTCTCCACCAGACATGTCAGGGCTGTCTCTGTGGCCTCTCCCACCTTTTCATACACCCCCTTGGCCTGGCAGGTGCCAGAGCACAGGGAGTGAGGGCCTCCTGCAACCATCCACTTTTTTTTCTTTAGATGTAGTCTCGCTTGCTATGAGCTCAGGATGGCCTCAAACTCACAAGTGATCCTCCTGACTCAGCCTCCCACGATGTACACAAGTATATTACCACACAGGACTTCTAGGCTCATCTTGCTGGGCCTCCACCCTGCTACCTGGGCCCTGCTCCCTCATTGCACCCCTGGCTCCTGTGTTTTCCTGTCTGTGCTACTGCCCACACAAGGCATCTTTCAAAAAGGCAACATGACCACAATCAGTCCCCTGCTCAAAACCCTTTGGTGACTCTCTACTTGCCCTCGGCTTGGCATAGGAGCTGACCTGGTCTGGCCAAGGATGCCTGGCAGGCAGGAGTACCTTTCTATATGCTCTAGCCACGCGAATGACATTCAATGCCTGTCGCGTCCAGCTTTTGCAGACTGAGCCTTCCCTGAGCTATGTCTTCTGCTTTAAATGCCCTCTCCTGTCCTCTCCCCACTATCTTCCCACAGTATCCCTGGCCCTCCAGTCCCTTAAACGGCAGCTTTCCGTTCTCAAAGAGCACAAAGGGCAACATTCCAGAAACTGTGCAGAGTGAGGTGGAGGGATGGCCAGTGCGGTGTATGGAGTGGTCATGCTCCTGGAGTCTGGCCTTCTGAAGCTTGGGTACTACCAACCTCAAGCAATGAGGCTCTGGGCAAAGGGGTTTGTCATGAGCTTTAGATTCTAGAAGTTCATGAAAGTGACTAAGGGCCCACCTCATTGTAGTCCAGTGCAGAATCATTGCACAGGGCACAGATGGTTGCTAGCTCCACAAGTCCATCGAATTGCCCACAGCGCACAGGCTGCTCTCCCTGTCGCCTGCAGAGCCAGAGAAGTCAGCACAAGGTGTTGCCCCAGCCCTGGGATACACCCAGCTTGACCCAGCCCACAGGGAGCCATGCCCACAGACGCCTCCAGTTGCCCTGTGTAGTTCCGCCCACCAGATCCCCATCCCCATCAGCCCCTTGCTCCTGCACTCACACTTCGCCCTCTGGGGTGTACGTGGTACCCGAGATTGTGAATTCATGCAAACGGCAGGTGCCTGCTTCCGCTTCGGCTACTATAAACATCTGTGAACACAGGGGTGGGTTCAGGCTGGTGAGTGTCTTCCTTTCTTCCTTGATATCAGTCTGAATAAAGCCTGACCCCAGGAGGGCATCGTGAGGCACCATCCACCAGATCCACTGGAGGGCCTTTCTTCCCCACTGGAGGGAAGATATGACTCCAGGCTCCAGGCTGGGTGCCTGAGACTCAGTTCTGCCCAGTGAGGCTGGCCATTTGCCCTGAACTCCAGAGGGTTTTGTGGCCCATTTTTCAGGGCCTGAAGCAGCCGCCTACATAAGGGAGCCTGAGGTGAGCAGGAAACCTGGGTCCTTGCTCATCTCACTGTGTGACCACTGTTCAAGTACCTGAGCTTCAGTTTCTCCGCTGATCACATACGGAGAAACTGGGATCACAGCTCAGCTACCCCTCCCTTCCCTTCAAGGGGATGAGTTCTCTGCCTTTATGGAAGAAACAAACCCACATCCTGCTCTGAGGCTCAGTTCTCTTTATCCTAGAGGTGACCCCAGAGATGAAGCCCTGCTCTCAGGGCCTGCTGGGTCACTCAGTTCCTACCTGCACTGAACTGCTCCCCTTTACCAGCCCATTTCCTGGTCTGTCAGCCAGCTCTGTGAGGGAGATGGTTCTGGCTTCCTGTAAACTCCTTTGCCGCTCATTCTCAAGCCAGTGGCCAGCTGGCCATTGAGTAGATACTTGTCCTGTTCTCAAGCAGTCTTCCAGGGAACACAGCCCATTTCCCAACATGCTCAGCCACTACCACTCCCCCCCCCCCCCCCCTTTTAAAAAAACCCCCCCCCCCCCCCCCCCACTTTTCAAATCTTTATTCTAGTCAAGGAACACTGTTCAGATAAAATCCCACTGGTTTCAGCAGGTCAGGGGTTGCAGGACAACAGAGCTCGCCGGTGCCCCTCCTCTGCATCAGGCTCTGGTGGACTTCCATGGGGCTGTAAAGCAGAGGACAAACTGTGGGAGCAGGGACAGGAGAGGCATGATGGGTACTGGAAAGGTGGGAAACCCACCACCATCACCATTTCCCTAGCCATCTCTCCGCTGATCAGGAGGGCCTCTGCTCTTTAAAATTTCAGCCAGAATCTCTGGAGCATGTGGACAGTGGACCCAGGATGTGGGATCAAGTGCCAGGGAATGACTAATTGCTGCCCTAGCCCTTCCCGGGTCACTGGAGCTGGTATATTTGGTGACAGGCGTCAAGTAAACAGTGATGATGGAGTAGGAGAGAGGTTGGGTCCAGTGACACAGGGGCTGCACTTCACTCTTTCTAGGATCCCTAGCAGGGCTCATTCCCAAGTTTCATATGAGAAGACTGCAGTCCTTAGACTGGCAGTGACCTGCCCAGGGTCCTACAATGACTAGGTGCTCCAGCAATACATCTAGCCAGGTACTGATAGTCTGTTTTGCATCGTGAAGAACTAGATCTAGCTGGTGTGGTTATGCACACCTTTAATCCCAGGACTCAGGAGGCAGAAGCGGATGGATATCTGTTGTGAGTCCCAAGCCAGCCTGGTCTACATAATATAATGAATTCCAAGCCAGCCAGGGCTACATAGTGAGACCCTATTTTAATAAAAAAAAAAAAAGGTCAGGATCTGCTCCTGCTCCTAACTAGGAAAGAAATCTATAGATTCTCCAAAAAGGAAGTCAGGGAGCCAGCCCAGATGTACAGCATTACCTAACACCATTGAGCCCCAAGCCAGCTGCCACTCACCCTGCAGACAGACATCTGATTGGTAGTGAGTGTGCCCGTCTTGTCAGAGCAGATGACCGAGGTGCAGCCCAGGGTCTCCACAGAGGGCAGGCTCCTCACAATGGCATTTTTTCGTGCCATGCGCCTTGTGCCCAGCGCCAAACATGTAGTGATGACTGCTGGGAGACCCTCAGGGATGGCAGCCACAGCCAAAGCCACAGCAATCTTGAAGTAGTAAACTGCACCACGGAGCCAGGATCCACCATGGGCTGGGTCGGCAAAGTGGCCAATGTTGATGACCCATACTGCCACACAGATCACAGAGATGGCATGAGACAGCTGCCTCCCAAACTCATCCAGCTTGCACTGTAGTGGTGTCCGCTCAGGCTCCACAGCTGCCATCTGGCTCCGGATCTTGCCCAGCTCTGTGTGTAGACCCGTGGCCACAGCCACACCTAGGGCTTTGCCTGATGCGATATTGGTGCCCTGACCAGAGAAGGGTGAGGAAGTACTGCTCAGTGCTGGCAGGGACCCAGGACCCCCAACTCCAAGCCAGAGCCAGCTCTTCTCCTGTGGGCTTGGGCTTCCAAGAAGCTGGCTATTTGTTGGGTCACTGCTCTATGAAGGCAGGGATTTGGTGGGTAGTTATACTCCATGTGCCTTACACAGTGCCTGGCACAGGAAAGGCTTCAGGATTTACATCCATCAGCCATATGATCAATCAGCCAGCACAACTCAAGCACCAACGCATCAAAATGTGACTCATAAGCAGCTACCATGACCACACAGGAACATGGCTGACAATGATCTCAGGTAAGTAATTTATAAATATTTACTGAAGAATCCATAAAACTTGAGCCTTAGCACTCCCCTCCCTAAGCCTTGGAAAAAACTACAGGTAACCTTGTACCCCAGGGTCCCCCTCCATAAAATGCCCACGTAGAGGCCCAAGATGCAGTCTTGGAGGCTGTTTGGTGCCCCTCAGATGTGCAGTGAGTGGCAAGAACACAGGCGCTTGTGGTAGCCCTGCCTCTCCTCCACCCTGAACAAGGCAGCTCTGACCTGCCCCAACCCCCCAACTAAGGCACAGAGCCTCAGTTGCAATTCACAGTGAGCCACACACCCTTCTCATGCGTCATGCCTTCCTCCCCACTCAAAGCAGCCTATTAGTTCATGAACCCAGGCAGGATTCTCTGCAGTTCCGTGCACACATGGTGTTTTCCATTTCTCCTCATTCCCAGGGAGACTTTCTAGCATCTTACGCCTGGGTGTTCTGGGCCACTTTCTGGCTGAGCTGCACGTCTTCACCACTTCTATAACCCTCAACCCCATGAGGATCTTCTACTGAGTGACTAATGGCAAGCCCTGTCCATCTCCAGTTAGAGGCACGGTACGCCAGCAGAAAGAGGAAAAGCCCTGGGACCCGGATGTCTGTGCTCACATCTCAACTCTGCCACTCATTGGCTGTGACCTTGGGCAATTTACTTAATCTCTACTAGCCTGTTTCCTTGCTGGGAAAGATAGATAACAAGATACAGGTAACCTTATTTCAAAGGTTTATTGTGGGGATTAAGTAAACTATTAAGTATAAAGGGCTCATAATGTTAGGTAAGCAAGCTTCAGTAAAAAAGCTATTATGATTACTATAAATTCTCATTTATTGTTGATATCCAAGAGGCCCTTTTCTACAGGATTTTTTAAAAATTAAAAATTTTATCACATTCATTATTTGTGCCTGGGCCTTTACCCACTAAGTCACCCCACTGGCCCTCCTAGAGGATTTTATCACTGTCTAGATCAAGCCCCGAGCATCCCAGGAACTTACAGAAAACAGCATGTTCTTCTTGTCCTGGTTCACGGCTCTGGGGTCTGGGATTGCATCTGTGTGCTTGGTCACAGACACGGATTCTCCTGGTTATGGGATCAGATGTGAGAGGCCTCACCTGAAGATATGCCCATTACCTGGTCCCAGCTCCACTCCATCCCAGTCCCTGGGCCTTACCAGTCAGGATGGACTGGTCCACCCGCAGCGTGGTGGACTTGATCTCGATAAGGCGGAGGTCAGCAGGTACCTTGTCTCCCACTGCACAGGAAGAATGGTGTGGCAAAGAGTGGCTTGGGACCCCAACCCCAGCAAAGCCAGAAGGGCTACCAGAGGCACGGCTGGGACCAGAAGCAGGGGACTGAGCTGTGATTCCTCGGGCATACCCGAGTCACTCTGGCCACAGTCTCTGGATCTGTCCAGTGGGGCTTTGGTCAAAGAGCTTTGGAAGGAGGCCCTGGGCATACCCACCTGCCACTTCCACAATGTCCCCAGGGACAATATCCCGGGCTCGGATCCTCTGCACTCCCTTGCGCTCAGAGCGGATCACCTTACCCATCTCGGGCTCATACTCCTTCAAAGCCTCGATGGCACTCTCGGCATTGCGTTCCTGCAGGACAGAGGTGGTCTCTCCCTACTGCCTGCCCCCAACAGGACTCCCCTTCAAAGTAGCACCCTTGGAGCCCAGGATGAAGCTGAAAACAGGACTGTGGGTCGACGGCACACTGGGAGACCCCAGGGACCAGCCTCACTCTCAGCACCTCCCACCTGCCAAATGCCCACAATCGCATTGGCTACAAGGATCAGCATGATGACCAGTGGCTCCACAAAGGCTGTTGTGGTCTCTTCACCCTCCTCGAACCAGGCCAGGACCTGTGGGAACAGAGCTGGTCAGCTGTGCTGTGCTGGGAGTCCCATGACCTGATCTCATGACCTTTACACCCTGGATTACCTGTTTGCCCCACTAGAGAGCCCTGGGCCTAGAAAGAAGGCCTTGGTACAGGAAGGATGCCTACCTAACAGATGTGGTGGCCACAGTCCCCATCCCACCTAAACCAGCCTTCAAGGAGGCAGAGTCAGCTAGAGACCTTTCCCCAACTGCCCTGTTTCTCACTCTGGTTCCTAACCAGCAACCACAGCAACTCCTGGGTTAGAGCCATAGTTCTTGGGCTCAGCTCAGACATCCTGAGGCAGAAACTATATTTAACAAGCCTAGGTGTCCTGGTTAGCTTCAGTTGTCAACCTGATACACTTGGGAAGAAGGAACTTTAATTGAGTAATTTCCTCCATCAGCTTGGCCTGTGGGCCTGTCTGTGGGGCATTTTCTTGATTTCTGGTTGATGTAGGAGAGCCCAGCACACTGTGGGCAGTGCCATCCCTGGGCAGATGGGCCTGAGCTGTTTAAGAGAAGTAGCTGAGCAAGCCAGGGGGAGCAAGACAAGAAGCAGCATTTCTCTGTGGTCTCTGCTTCAGTTCTTGTTTCAGATTCCTGCCCTGACTTCCCTCAGTGATAGACTATGTCTTGGAAGAGTAGGATGAAATAAACCCTTTCTTCCCCAAGTTGCCTTTGGTCAGTGTTTCATCGTAGCAATATAAAGTAACTAAGGTACTAGGTAACTCCGATGAGCACTCATGTTCAAGGTCTTCTGGCCAGAGGAACTTCATCCCCACCCTAGAGCCTAAGCCTCTGAATGGGACCTGGGTCAAGTCCCACATCTACCTCCTGTCTCAAGTAGGTACTTGTCACCTCCCTCCCACCGTCCTCCGCGTTTCCATCTGTGCTATGAAGGATACTGGCACTCACTCCTTTCAGTGCTGCCATTTTTGACATCTGCATGGATGTGTTTTTTTGTTTTTACCAAATCCCAGTTTCCATAAGGACAGTGGCTAAAGGGCCAGCTACCACTGAGGAGGGAAGAGCCAGTCCAAGCCAGCACCCTGATGCTCCACACTCCAAATTACCAGATGAAGTCTCTTCCCCAGGTCCCGCTGAGAGTTGCCTAGAACAGGAATCCCACCCTCCCATCCTGCATAAACTTTTGAGTATGCTGTTTAGCCATGGAAGAAAGCCTTCGCCTCCCTCTCATGGTCCAGGAGGGATCCAAGTAGCAAAATGGGGGAAGAGCAAAGAAAGGGAAGCCACAGCCAGGAGGTCTACAACAGGATAGAGCTCAAAGTCTGTTTGAGGAGTGCAAGGGCCAAGGTAGTGGCCTTCAACTGCAGGGACTTTGGGCCCCAAAGAGGCATCCGGAAAGGTCTAAAGACACTTTTGATTGTCACTAGAAGGTGCTACTGGTACCTGGTAGAGAGGCCAGGGATGCTGATAAACATCCCTCAGTGTATCAGACAAACCCCACCCCTACCCAGAACTATCTGGCATTTGCCATCAGGGGTGCTGAGGTCGACAAACCCTGGCTAGGTCAGAGAAGGACCCGGCAGGGTTAGGTCACTGAAAGCACAAATAGATTGGAGAGATTCAGGTGGGAGCCAGTTCAGTGTGGGGCAGGTGAAGTCTGAGGGTTGTTTGAGAGGACACTGGTAAGACCTTGCTCACAGGATGTCAGCCAGGGCTTACTTACAAAGGAGACCAAAGCTGCCAGCAGCAGGATGCGTACCAGGAGGTCCTCAAACTGCTCAAGCACCAGCTCCCACAGGGACTTCCCTGGAACAGGAGAGTGTGTGAGCCACCCCCCCACATCCATAACCTTCCCTCTCCCCATTCAGAACTGGAGGCTTTTAGGTTTTACGGACTTCCATCCCCCTCTCCCTGCAGTTCAGAGGGAGAGCCCAAGGCCATGAAGGGCTCTGCTGGGGGCTCAACAAGACCCTCTTCTTTGGGAGAGGGAGTCACAGCCTGATGGTAAAGAGCCCAAGGCTCTAACCTCAAACTTGATGCCTACTCAACTCATACCTCACCTTCTTCAGTTGGGAGCTCTGCAGGACCCAGGCAGCCACAGGAGCATGAAGACAAGAGAAGACTGGTTACTAGTGGGACCTGCAGGAATTTGGAAGCCCTTCCCAGCGCTGAAGTCACACAATTGATGTTTGAGCGCCAAGTCTGCCCTTTACCCCCACCCACTCTGTTAAGCACTCTGGTGTGGCCTGGTTCACCTTAGGATGAGACCAGAGCTGGCAGGGAGGGCTACTAGCTCCTTCCCCCCTTTCATAGAAGCAAAACTGAGGCCTGGAGATGAGAAAAAACCTCAGGATCATGATTGCCAGTTCTCACAACCTTCTGTACTGATCATCCTGGTATGGCTGCTAGCCCTGGCCAGAGCCTCCCTGCTCCACCAGGTGCTCAATACTTATCAGACTCTAACCTACCTCCTCTTTATCATCCCCAGGAAAAAGTCAACCTCAGAGACCCACCCACACAGCCCCCCTGGACATCCCAGTAGCCATCTCTAGAGAGCAAGGAACCAACCACGTTCCCTCTCCAGAAACACCAGCATCACCTGTCTCAGTTCACTTGACAAACTTTTTTATCATCTACAGCTCTTGAATTAATTTTATACCAGCCATGGCTGGCTGCCCTGGGTACCTGTAATCTAATTCTTCCCAGTATCCTCAAACAGAGGCAGGTGGGAATGCCACACTTACCTATTTCACACATGCAAGAATTGAGGAGCAGAGTGAACAAGCAGCCAGCAAAAGACACACAGCAAGTCAGTGTCTCTGTGAGTGGCTGTGCAGGGGGTGGGAGCTGGGCCCCAGAGGGTAGACTCTGATAGGCCCCCCTCTTTGGGCAGAAGCTGAAGCTGTCTGTGGCCAGTCTTTCTGAACTCTGCCTCCTCTTGCCCTCTGCAACTCAAAGGCCAACAGCCTCAGTCACACACTCTAGAGCCCCCCTGTTTTCCTCTTTCTGTTTCCTGACCATTGACCAGTTCCTCGAATCTGTCTGCCGGTTCTTGGCCCACAGGCATTTTTCCCTGTGGGAACTCTTTCCCTAGACCATGTATGGGGAGGTTTAGGGTCTGTACCTAGCACCTCAACCATGGACAGCAGCAAGCAGCCCACTGGACCACGGGGTTCCAGGAGGGAAACATAACCTAAAAATACACTTTCTAGCATTTTCTCTAAAGTCCTATTTTAGGCAACGGCTGACATTTTCCGTGGAAAATGTAATCTCCAGTGTCCTGCGTTGAGATTAAAATCAAACAGACTTTTCCTTCTGATCTATTTAACTGAAGCGAACAGGAAAGGCGGGGGGAGGGCCAAGCCTAGTTTCTGGGCCAATTCTTCTGGAGCAGTTCTTTGGAGGTCATCTTAGACATGCCCCTGCCTCGAACAAAGCAGCACCCATCACAGCACACATCAGTGGCTTCTGTGCTCTGCCCAGGAGTCTTTCCAAATCCTCGCCTTGCCAGGGCTCCTGGCCAAGGCAAGGGTTATCAGTCTCACCTGAATTCCTCTTGCTCTTTCTCTGATCTTTTTCTCTGTGAGTCAGGATACCCCTGGCTGCCACACTCTTTAGGGTACCCTTTGGGCAGGGCTAGGCCTGGGGTAGGATACATGTCATTGGAAGATATACCACTCCTAGTCTTCCTAGGCCTCCATGGGGGGTGTCTCCCCAGTTTCCCTTTTCTACCTGTCTACCTGACCCACTGTGACACAGGATCCACTCACTGGAGGTCATCATGTTTCCCCAAACGCTTCTGCTTCCCCCACCTTGTGGCCACATTAACATTGTGCTTCTTGGCCATGAAAATGTGTTAGTTCCCAGTTGGGGCATTAGGTTTTTGGTGCAAGGCTCGCTAGAAGGTAACTATATCACAGACTGTTCTGCGAGGACAGGAGTCTCTGTCTCTATGGCACAGCAGCCTCTAGCCACATGTAGCTATTGAACCCTTGGAAAGGGGTCAATGTGACTAAGGAATGACATTTCTGATTTTGTTGACTTCATTTATTTAAATTTAAGTCGCCGTAGGAGGCTGTCACCCTGAACAGCATGGGCCCTGCTACAGTGGTAGTAACCTGGGAATCCTGGTCTATTCTATCACCCCACATCAGAGATGGCCAGCCTGCCACCACACTGTGGGAAGGACAAGCACCCTTCTGTTCCCTTAGGTCACTGAGGATTTTTTGTTTAGGGTTGCTTTTCTGTTTGGTTTTCTGAGACAGAGTCTCACTCTGTAGCCCAGGCTGTCTTGAACCATGATCCATCTACCCCAGCCTTCCATGTGCTGTGATCCTAGGAGTGCACCAACACAAGCAGTTGGCTAGCAACTGAGGTTTTGAAGTCGTTAGTACAATACCTGGCCTCTACCCAGACCAGCTGTTTATTTTTGAGATAGAGTCTCCCTGTAGCCCCAGCTGACCTGGAACTCACTATGTAGACCAGGCTGACCTCAATCTTACAGAGATTCACCTGCCTCTGCCTTCCAAGTGCTGGGATGAAAGGCATGCACCACTATACCCAGCTTAGACCCAACTTTTACAAAGGGGTCCCCTCTGTCTCCTCCTAGGGAGGCTCTGCCAATCAGGCAGTGATGGGGAAGGCCCTGTCCATGGCACACAGGGTCCAAATCCTGCAAGCAGTTGGCTCCTTTAGGAGCCCTGAGCCCCACTGGGAAGATGGGATGTTCACAGCAACCTCAAAAGGCCACTATGACGATTCTCATCAACAGCAGAAGCCACATTTACTGAGTATCTACTATGTACTAAGCAGGTAACCTCACCAATGCTCTGTCTAGGGATAAACAGGAAGACTGGGTGTGAAGACTGTAAGATGCCCTGTAGATCTCACAGCAGCAGTTGGCATTGACCAGGCCAGATGTCTTACTACCCCATTGGGCATGCTATTTTGTAGGACTCTGACCCAACCTGAGGAGGTACTGTTGTTATTTCCATTTTATAGAGTAGACAACCTGAGCACAGAGATGCTGAGTGACTACTTCATGGTCATACAGCTGGGAAGTGACAGGGGGCATTTCTGTACTTGGGCCACCTGAACCTCAATCTCTGCTCAGAGCCTTCTGTGTTAACCTGGTCCCTTAACTGCCCAATCAAGGCCACCTGAAATTTGGGTGGATGCCAACCTCTGCTCAGAGCCTTCTGTGTTAACCTGGAAATTAACACAGAAGGCCCTCCTCTGGTCCCTTAACTGCCCAATCAAGGCCACCTGAAATTTGGGTGGATGCCAATTCCTTGGTAGTGAACCCAGACCTACCCACTCAAATCACCTGGTCCCAAGGCTCTGCTGTTCTCACAGGTGGAGTTTTGGGGCCCACTATGGCCTACCCATTCAGATGGTTAGCCTGATCTGTTTCAGATGCTGATTACAAGGCTCCAAAGGACCTAATACTCTCCCACACAAGCAAATCCCAGGGTTACAGGTTTGGGAAAGTCCCCAGCAGGGGAAAGATGCTGGCTCCCCTAGCTGTCCCCTGCTGATGCTAAGGACTGAGTCAGCTCCCCTTGAGGTGGTACCAGGCCTGCAGCACAGTACAGGCATCCCATATGCTAGATGGTAGAATGCCCTACCTGCTCACCTCTGTGCTGACAGTTACACAGGGCAAAGGCAGTAACTGGCTCTGCTCTTCTCCCCAGCTGGACCTGCCCAGGGATGGGATCCCACTGTTCTTGCCTAAGCCACACACATGCTGACTTCTCCCAGACCAATCTAGGTCACCATTGCCAGGCTGAAAAGGCAGTGCCCACAATGTCCACTGTAGGGCTGGCCTGAGACTCTGTGAATTGGCCTGAGATTCAGGGAGGGAGGTGGCAAAGGGGTTTAGAGAAAGGAATCTGGTCCTAAGAGCTGGAGTTCAAATACTGCCCTAATTCTTGTTTGTGCCAAGGCTACTGGCAAGCCCCATGGCTCCATGTCTGTTTCCCACATCTGCATAAAGGGGGTGACAATGAGCACGCCTTATGAGGTTGACTGAAGGCTCAGTGACCAGCAGAATGCTCCTGGCACTTACAGCACAGTCATCAAGCATCAGCACACTGACAATGAACAGGCCCTGGGCTCCTCAGGACTTGGCCAATGCAGCATCTCCAGCACCAGGAACAGCGCCTGTCATGAAGCAGGTGCTCAGTTAAACATGGCAAGGCATGAAGCCCTGTTTCTGCCCAGCTCCCAACCTTCAATGGTTGTCCTCAGCCTGAGTGTGGCCTTTGAACCTTCCTAGTCTTCCTAACCTACTCCTCCAGAGTCACCTCATAACTTACAACTATGTCTCTCTGCAGCCAAGCAGAAGGCTTCATGAGGGCCACCACATCCTACTCTCTAAAGCTTTTCCTTTACATACCCTCCCCCATGACCTCACCAAGACCCCAGGCTCTAGGATGCCAGAAAACCTTTCTCACAACTTTATCACCTTACCACCAGGCATTAGTATTGGGCCTCTTGCCACTGGACTAGGAGCATCTAGGCAGGCTGAGTCATTGCTGGGGCCACACTGTGCCCCTGGCCATTGTTTATTCAGTTGCTCTGCAAGTCAGGCCAGGCTCTGGGCCCACTGCCCATGCACCGGAGCCAGAGAGCAGTCAGTAGAGAGCCAGGGACACCACTGGGCTGCCCTCAAGGCTCCACGCACCACCTGCTCCTCTAATCCCTCACCTCTAACTCCTTCCTTTTTGCAACACTAGAAACTGGAATTTCAGCTTCTAAATGTCAGTTCCAGCTGGGAGAGGCAGGTACTCACCAAGATCTTCCTCTAAGGCAAATTTACAGAGCAATTAAATCGTCACTTGTGAAGGCAGGGAGAGGCCACAGCTGGGCAGGGCCCGCCCAGCCCACCTGGCCCTGCCTTGTCTCCAGGGTCCACCTAGAGTGGACAGCCTGACCTGGCTCTGAAGGGGACCACTGAAGGGGAAATGGTTCCTGTGCTACAGAGGGGCACACCATCCCACTTAGCTTAGCTGGTGCTGGGGGTGAAGGGTTTGTTAACACCTGTATGTTTTGTGCACAAGGGTGGACCCCAACCTGCTCAGAGTACCCAGGGATAAGAGTACCAGCTGAGGTGGGACTGACACTGTTGCTGGGGCTAAGTCTGCTTGTCAAGGGCCAGGAGATGTGACAACTAGGGTGAATCCAGAAATGTCTGCAGGTAACACACCTCAGCAGAATCAGTTTCAGATCCTCTGAGGCACTTAGGAGATGGCAGATCCCACCTCTGCTATGCTGAGGACACTGGGGTCCAGAAGGGGCAAGCCTGCCTGAGACCAGCCAGTGAGTGAGGCCATACAGGGCCTGTCCTCAGACATACAGATTTCTCATGTTCAAGTCCCATGGGGCCTGGACTGAAGGTTAGGCCATAGCCAAAGCACTGCTGAGCCCCCTCATGGGATCTCGCCTGACCCAACACTCTTGGCTCTCTAGTGTCCTCAGGGGCAGGTATGTGTGGCAGGATAAGCCCAGCACAGTCCAGCCTGGCCTATGCTTCTTAGGGACATACAGAAGTTGGACAGCTGAGCATCTGAAGATGCTAAACCTGACTTGAAAATAGAAAAACTCAAGGAAAGCTACAAGAGGACCTTTCCCACCAGGTGGGCCCAGATCAAATTCGGGCTTCTACACCACTGGCCAGGCAGTGGAAGGGGAGCCGGGCAGGGCGACTGCGGCAACCCTGCAGTGACTCTGGCACAGGCCCAAAGTGAAAACATCTTTGCTTTGTTTGGCAATTCCCTCCTAGAAACTTGTCCTGAAGTGCCACTCACAAGCGGTGACGCGATGTAACGATAGGGGGACTTCTTGTGCTGTGTGGAACAGCAGAGGTCACAAACAACCTAAGCTGGGGAAATGGGGGTGAAGAAAATGCAGCTGGCCACAGGGAAACCCTGTGAAGCCACAAGGAGGCTCAGAGCCCGCTGGCTAAGAGAAGGCTGGAGCAAAGCAGCAGTTAAGCCACCAGCTTTGCTGGCTCCGAGACCACAGGGAGGGCATGCTCAAAATATACTGTAAGGAGACAGGTGGCTGGGAACCAGGTTGGAGAGACTTTATTGTATACTTTTTATACCCTTTGAGGGTTATATTTTGAACAGTAATTTATTTAAAAAAATAAATCTAGGCCTAGGGATATAGCTCAGTGGTAGAACGCTTGTCTAGCAAGGCCCTGGGTTCAATCCCGAGCACTAAAAAACAACTAAAAAACTAATCAGTCAAGCTAAGCATCGTGGCACAGGCCTATCATCCCAGTTCTCAGGAGGCTGAGGCAGGAAGATCACAAGTTCTAGGCCAGCAGGGCTACATGGTGAGATACTGCCTCCAAATAGGCAAAAAAAATAAATATGTTTAAAAAAATGTAAAAGGCCCAGAGGGAAGCTGGACTCTGGGCCCTCTGGCACCAAAGCAAGGTAGGCTCAAAGAGGGGCTGCCGTCAGGCCTCCCTGCTACAGCCCTTGGAGGAGGCATTTTACTGTGAGGCTGGTGGTGTTCTCATGTGGGTGGAACCTTCTCACTGGCCTGCTCATGGCCAGTGCTCCTGAAGCTGAGGCTTCGCCCCACTCTGAGGTTTCTGTCAGGGAAGAGAGGGGGGACCTGGGAGGGTGAGATTCCTCAGTGGCCTCCCCTCCCCCAAGACAGAATTTGCAAACTTTGAGGACTTAAGCAAATGACTTCCTTGTGGTTTCCAGCACTAACGACCTTGCAGGTGCATAGCTGCCTGGGGGGGAGGGGGGCACTGGTCCCTGGGGTATCCCCTTCACCTGCAGACCCTGCCCACCCTACCACCCAGCTTCTGGCCCAGAATCCAGTCGTGCCTCCTCAGAGCAGGATGACTCTGTGTAAGTGACCTCACTAACCATGCACAAACAACCCTGAGATGGGTTCTATCTTAGCCTCACACCGAGGAAGCCAAGGCAGAACGGTCAAGATGTTTGCTGAGGATAGGCCAGGGCTAGAGTGGTGATCCCCATTGAGCCCTGCCCTCTAGGGGACACCCACGCCTCCCCCACAGGCAGAGAGCAGGAGGCAGGAAGGCGCAGCTGGCTCCCTTCCACTCACCTGACAACTTCCAGAGCCCTGGACCGCTTCCTGAGGGAGAAGCCAGTGATGGGAGGGAAGAGCCCTATGGGGCCAGGAGGACAGAGGAGCTAAGCAGGAACAGCTCCTGTCCCGCTAACCCCAACACCTAGCACAGACACTGGTACCAGGGACCAGAACCTGTGACTGTCTTTTGCAGTTGGGAAAACTAAGGCCTAGAGAGAGATAGGACTCCCAGTACCAACTCTACCACTGAATGAACCTTGAGCTGTTACTTAAGCTTCCAGTGCCTCATTCACCTCCTCTCTAAATTGGGGTGACAGCAGTCTTTACCTCAGAGTTGTTTAGAGGAAGAAATGAGTTAACTGATGAAACATGCTGAAAGCAGTACCTGGCATGAAGTAATTGCTCTATGAAGCAGAAGCTTTTATTATTACCATCAAAACACAGAGGAACACAAAACGCCCCTCCCAACTTTTCCTACCACATCCCTACATGCCATGCCAAGCCAACATCCTCTCCCATCAGCACATACAGATGTGCACACCCTAAGATCCCTCACCCAGACAAAACTACATGGAGTAAGGGGGTGAGGGGCTTTGTCTCTCCCAGTCAGCTCCTCTTCTGCTGGACCAATGACAGTATGAGGGCCAGAAAGCAGAGTGACCTTAGGCCAGTCCTCCAGGGGCAGAATCTGTGACCTGGAACAGAACTAAAGGCTGAGTCCCCAGCTTCACATGGGAATCAAGAATCCCAAGCTGGGGACCACAGGAGCACCAATGAGGCTGTGGGACCCCACCCGCCTTCTGGGTCCCCAGTCCACCTCGGGGTTAGGGTCAGGCCCTGCTGCCCAGCCTTCCTTCAGCAAAGGACACCCTCACTGCCAAGTCATTAATGGGTGATATTAAATAATATTTATCTCCCAGTTCCTCCCACAGCTCCACTAAATATAGCAACTAATTTTTTTGAAAAAGGATTTCTGCTCCAGAAAGATAATATTTATGTAAGAAGTGGTTTTCATAAACCAATACAAACCCCAAAGCGCCCTTTCTGACAGCTCTTCGCAATTTCCCAACCAGCCCTGAACACCCAGGCCAGAGCACAGTCCCCTCCAGTGCCTAGGAACTCTCAAAGGGTGAGAGCCTCCAATAAGATACAGGTCCAGGTTATGCTTTGAGAATGGATGGGACATTTCTCTATGAATCCCTCACACTCTTGACAGGTGCTGAAGCGCTGAGCCAGGACTAACAGGTCCTGACCACCCTCAAGGGCATCCTGCACCTCCACCCCCAGGCTCCTAGCAATGTGCCTGGACACATCTGGACACAATCTACTGGCACTGGTAAGCCTTGTGGCAAAAAGAAGAAGCCCGTGCTCCTTTGAAGGAGGTGAGGAAGCCTTCACCATCCCAGCAAATTGCAAGGGTGGAAGGCTTCCTTCCGGCCCAGAGATGGGCTGGTACCACTCCAGGCCACCAGCTGAGGAAAGGTCTCCCCTCGCAGCTCTCCGACACCTCGAATCTAACACCTCTAGGAAGGTGGGTCTTTGCCCCAGCAGTTCAAACCCCCTTCATCTGTCAGCCACATCCGCTTAGGGTTGCAGAAAGAGGAAGACCTGGGGGTGGGGGGTAAGGGCACGAAGGCCACCAGCTGACAAGCTGCACCTCTCTGGCGCCTTATTGAACCTTCGGAGACCTTGAAGCCAACAGAGAGGCTGGACCTCAAGGCCCTGCCGGGTCCCTGGTGTGCACCTGCACAGCGCATTGCGGGAGTCCAGAGAAGCCCTGGCACAGGGTGGGCCAAGGCTGGAGGGTGCATGGTGACAGGTGGAGGGACCCCGTAAGGGCAGCGGGGGGAGGGCAGCAGGCGTCCCGTCTCCCAAGCTGGAACCCGCCCTCGTCCCGCTAAGGTGGCCCCGCGGGATGCCCCAAGAGCATCTCCAGAAGCTTCCAGAGCCCTCGCTTCCTGCCCGCCCGCGGGAACCCGGAGCCAGGAGGGAGCCGGGACCTCCGCGGCGTCCTGGTCCCCGGCCCGGCCCGCGCTCACCGTTGGCGCCGTAGCGCTCCCGGGCGCCGGTCACCTGCTCCGGGCTCAGGCCGCCCTCGGCGGTCACCGAGAAGCGGTGCAGCACATCGGCGGCCGGGAGCAGGTGCGCCTCCTCCATGACGCCCGCCTGGCCGTCCGCGCCGTCCAGGCCGCCTCTTCTCGGGGTTACAGCGCGGGCCGCGGGGGGCTCGGGCCCGGGTGGGCGCCGCGCAGGGCCATGACCACGCTGGGACCTTCCCCGACGGCAGTGCTAGAGGCCAGGCCCGCGCCAGGATGCTGCGCCCCGGGCTCCGTCCTCGGGGCGGGGCGGCGCGGGACCCGCCCCCGCACTCACACCTCTTCCGGCCGCCCACGCTACCGCCGCCCCGCTCCGCCCCTCCCCGCCCGCAGCGCCCCGAGGACCCAGCCTACCGGCGGCCCATTATACGGAACTGAGCACTGAGACCTGGATGCCACAGAGGAGCCAGGGAGCTCCGAAGCGCGTCACGTCGCCTGCGGAGGGGGGGGGTCCTTAGCGGGAAGCAGATGCTATGCATGCGTGGGTCTCCTCAAGAGGAAGCCATCGAATGCTGTCCTCGGGTGGTGTCTGCGTGCGCTTTATTCTTTACAGGGATGAGCGCCTACTCCTCATGCCACCAGAATCTCTTAAGACACTGAGTTGAAAGGGGAAGAAAGGTAAAGAGCATTGTTACCTGCCACTCAAGCGTCCCCCAGCAGGAAACTCTGCAGGCGGGTGGGCGGGGCTCCTCGGAGATGCCCCGGGAGCGAGGCATGGGGGGGGGGGTGACTCTGGCCGAGGGAGGGACAGGGACTCAGGAAATCCCTCCACCGCCAGCGAGTGCTGGAGGGATGCAGGTCGGAAGAGGTGGGGGAGGGCAGAGACCACTCACCTGCCAAAAAGGAGGGAAGAACCATGTGATCATCTGATGGTCGCCCCGCCCTCTGTTGCCCTCTGCTGTCTAAGGGCCGCTTCAGGGTCCCCAAGGCTGCATGTGCGCTCCACAGCACCCCTGCACATAGTAGCATCCATCCTGTCTTCATTCTCTGCCTCCCCATCTCTCTGCCTCTTGAGTGTGGAATGATTCGACTGGTTGGGCCTCTTGGTAGCTTTTGAAGTGTCCAGATTCTCTCTGGCATCAGCTGGGTCTCAGGTGGTTCAGAGATAAACAAATGCTACCTTTATGGTTGTGCCTTATTCCAACTGACATTTTATTTTACTTGTTTATTTGCTTTGGCTCCTTTGAAACAGGGTCTTGCTCTGTAGTCCAGGCTATCTTCCAACTCTGGCAATCCTCCTGCCTCAACCTCCAGAGTGCTAGGATTAGATGTGTATGCCACCATGCCCAGCCTCCTAACCTGGCATTTTAGATCTCTACTCCAATTATCCCCAGGTATCTTTCTCCATCCCTTTCCCTCTGACTGTTATAGCACATACACAATCCCTCTTCATTCCTCAATTGCCAGGAAACTTGTTAGGACCATGCTGGAGACAGCCTGATAGCTCCCCACAAGAGAGTTTGAGCTCCCTGAGACATGGACCTCTGAGACCAGTAGATGGACATCCCTACTTACTCCCAGACACATCCTAGGGGTTAAATGCCTCCTCTGCTAACCCCAGGGGACCTTAACCCCAAGCCTCTCCCACTGTCTCCACCCACACCTGTGAGTTGGCCTTTGCTAGAAGGCAGGGTTAGGAGGCCTGATTGTTTGCTCTGGGCAGCCTGGCCTGTTTCCTCTCTCCTGCTCACTCCACCCTGCCTCCAAACCACCATGAGCAAAGCAAACTGTGACTCCTACCTAGCAGGTGAACACACCTGTCAGCGTGCTCACCTGCTCAGCTTCCCCCCATCAGGACTTCTGAGCACCACTCCAAACTGAGTCCCACATAGCCATTTCACACTCCAACTCCCTGCCCATTGCTTCTGTTTTTCCAATTATGTCCTCGATCTCCACTGGTGGTTAGGGTGATGTGGTCATGGGCAGACTGTCCAAAGGGCAGGTGTTGTTCTCCCTACATCCCAGCTGTCATGGCTCCAGAACTCTAGGCCTACCTAGTCCGGGGCCACTGTCAGGTAAGGGCATTCCTTCCTGCCTGCCTGCCTGCCTCATGTGAGGGGCCTGGACAGAGTATGGAGGAAAAGTAAGTGTTTTCATGGAGGGTCTAGACACATAAAGAGGGTATCACAGGCAGTCATGAGCGTTTGAGTTAAAGGTGACGTTCTAGTTTCTTTCGCCATTGCTGTGACAAAATACTCTGACCAATACTAACTTAGGAGGGAAAGGGTTTATTTTATCTTATATCTCCTGGGTCACAGTTATCAGGGGGCCCAAGGTAGGAACTCAGGGCAGGAACCTGGAGGCAGGAGCTAAAGCACAGGCTATGGAGGAACGCTGCTTACTGGCTTGCTCCCCTGACCCATGCTCAGCCTACTTTCTTATACAACACAGGCCCACCTGCCCAGGGTTGGTACCACCTACAGTGGGCTGGACCCTTCCATATCACTCAGTAATCAAAAGATGCCCCACAGACATGGCCATAGGCCAGTCCAATGGAGGCAATTCACCAACTGAGTCTCCCTCAACCCAGATATGTCAAGTTGACACTAAAGCTACTCAGCACAGGTGAGAAACCTCAGTGTTGTGTCAAGGATGAGATCCAGTCCCTCAGCACAGCTACATCATAAGAAGAAGGAGCTGGAGATCTGGAGGGTAGATCAGGAGGCTGGGCTTGGATGTTAAGCCTTGATCACTCCAGTTCTTGTATTGAAGGCTTTTAAGCAGTGGAGAGATGGGATCAGATTTGCCTTCTAGAAAAATGGCTCATTTGCGCCAGGCATGGTGGTGCACGCCTTTAATCACTCTAGGCCTACCTAGTCCGGGGCCACTGTCAGGTAAGGGCATTCCTTCCTGCCTGCCTGCATGCCTCATGTGAGGGGCCGGGACAGAGTATGGAGGAAAAGTAAGTGTTTTCATGGAGGGTCTGGACACATAAAGAGGGTATCACAGGCAGTCATGAGCAGTTTGAGTTAAAGGTGACGTTCTAGTTTCTTTCGCCATTGCTGGGACAAAATACTCTGACCAATACTAACTTAGGAGGGAAAGGGTTTATTTTATCTTATATCTCCTGGGTCACAGTTATCAGGGGGCCCAAGGTAGGAACTCAGGGCAGGAACCTGGAGGCAGGAGCTAAAGCACAGGCTATGGAGGAACGCTGCTTACTGGCTTGCTCCTTGGCCCATGCTCAGCCTGCTTTCTTATGCAACACAGGCCCACCTGCCCAGGGGTGGCACCACCCACAGTGGGCTGGGCTC